AAACTAAATGGGGACCAAATGCAAGTTGAAATTTCATCCTATGTTATAGGATAAAAAATAGACAAAAATTGCTTTCATTTTGTGATTGTATTTTGTGCTAAAGTGAAAAAAAAACCTAAAAATTTTGAGTTTTATTTCTGAAATGTGAAATATAAGATTTTAGGATCTATTGCAGGGGTCCCAAACCCCCGGGCCGTGGACTGTTAGGAACCGGGCTGCACAGCGGGAGGTGAGCAGCTGGCAAGCCAGCGAAGCTTCAATTGCTGCTCCCCATCGCTCCCCATCGCTCAAATTCGTCCATGGACAAATTTTCTTCTGTGAAACTGGTCCGTGGTGCCAAAAAGGTTGGGGACCACTGATCTATTGGGAGGTACTTGTCAACAAATAACATATTACAGATACAATCGGTCTGACTTTCTGGTAAATAAAAAGCCAGATTAGATTGAATTATCATTAGACTTTATTTTTTTAAACACTGACTTTTGACATATAAGTCACTAATGACTTTGTTGTTGTTGTTGTTTTTAATATTTATTTATTTGGATGCACCAGGTCTTAGTTGCGGCAGGCGGGCTCTTTAGTTGCGGCATGTGAACTCTTAGCTGCAGCAGGCATGTGGGATCTAGTTCCCTGACCAGGGATCGAAACCCGGGCCCCCTGCATGGGGAGCGTGGAACCCTATCCACTGTTCCACCAGGGAGGTCCCTCACTAATGGCTTTTGATTAGAAGACTATGACATTCTTTTCTGATGATGATCAACCACAGGTAAATTTGCAAAATTATCACTCTTTCCTCAGCATTAGAGTTTTGTAGTTTAGCCATCAGTACTCCTCATGCTTCCTGTCATAGATCTCGTGGTCCAACGTGGCTATTAATTAAACAACCTATAAATAACTAAGACTGAAAAAAATTTAAGCTGTTTAATGGTAGAAACCGTGACAGTGTCCATCGGCCCTCCACCCATGAACCCCCCCGCACCACACATGCACCTGGAGGTGTTCCGTGGTACCATTTGAAAGGGGAAAATAATAGAACACTTTATTTATTTTTAATAAATTTGTTTATTTTATTTGTTTTTGGCTGCGTTGGGTCTTCGTTGCTGCACGTGGGCTTTCTCTAGTTGTGGAGAGCAGGGGCTACTCTTCGTTGCAGTGCTTGGGCTTCTCATTGTGGTGGCTTCTCTTGTTGCGGAGCGTGGGCTCTAGGTGCGTGGGCTTCAGTAGTTGCGGCACACGGGCTTAGCTGCTTCACAGCATGTGGGATCTTCCCGGACCAGGGTTCGAACCCATGTCCCCTGCATTGGCAGATGGATTCTTAACCATTGTGCCACCAGGGAAGCCCTAGTGATTGATTTAGAAAGAAAGAAATTAAGACCAGTGCCATATCCACTTTTAATGGTGTGAACTCTTTGGAACTCCTGGTTAGAAATATGCATCATCCCCCAGCCCTCTTATTTTTCTCAGTGATGCAGCTGAGGCTCAGGGAGAGGAAGGAAGTTGTCCAAGGTCCCAGAGCAAGTGTGTAACAGAGGAAGGACAAGAACCATGGCTCTTATTCCTTACACTGGGTTTGGCTGGCCTGAGCCTGTCATACCTGACAGCTGCTCCCCGCCCATAGCCTGTGTGCTAAGATATGAATGCAGAGAAATTAATTGGATTTGTGTGTGTGGCTTATGGAATTAGTGACACTCTTTATGTGGTGACAGATTGTTCATTTATCCATTCGATTGATCAACTGCTTTCTAGGCAACATACAAGGACTGCTCACCCAGCCCCGGTCTCCCTGTTTGGCTTCATCTCCCACCCCTGCCGTCCTGCCCAGTTCACACCTCCTACATTCTGCTTATACTGGTTCAGGTATTTGTTTCCTCCAGAAGCTTTCTCTGCCTTCCCCAAGTTTGGCCTGGGTGCCCTTCCTCCCTGCACCCCATCCCACCCTGTATCACACAGTATTATAGTTGCCTGTCTACTTATCCACAGGCTAAGTAGGCTCACTTCTCAGACTAAGCACCATGCAGGCAAGAACCATCTTGTTTACCGACCTGCTCCCAGTGCCCAGGGCCTGACCCATAACAGGTGACCTGTGAGTATCAATGCAGTTAATTATTGGCTCTGCCATTTCCTGTGCCCTCATGCCACACACAGGGCCTCTGCAGAGGGTGTTTCTTCCCCCACCATCAGTCCTTCCCTCCTTAAATTGTCAAGACCTAGGTCAAACATCTAAAACAATCAACAATTCTGTGAAGACTTTTCCCTCAACAGTCCCCTACCACACACGGTTAGTCCTTCCTTTTCTTGCTCCCATTCTCCCTGCCATCGCATGCCACTTAGGACACAACTGTCCCTGTGAGCAGTGACTTGTATCTTTTATCCTGGCCCCCTGGCACCTACACAGTGTCAGATACTGGTCAAGATGCTTAGAATTCAGCAGTGAACCCAGCACACAAAAATCCCTGTCCTTGGGCTTCCCTGGTGGCGCAGTGGTTGAGAGTCCACCTGCTGATGCAGGGGACACGGGTTTGTGCCCCAGTCTGGGAAGATCCCACATGCCGCGGAGCGGCTGGGCCCATGAGCCATGGCCGCTGAGCCTGCGCGTCCGAAGCCTGTGCTCCACAACGGGAGAGGCCACAGATGTGAGAGGCCCGCAAAAAAAAAAAAAAATCCCTGTCCTTACAAAGCCCACTTTCTGGTTGGGAGGACAGGCTACAAATAAAATAAGTAAAACATAGAGCATGTTAGGAAGACGGGACTAAAGACTGTTAGAGACTTCCCTGGTGGCGCAGTGGTTAAGAACCCAGGGGACCTGGGTTCGAGCCCTGGTCCGGGAAGATCCCACATGCTGCAGAGCAACTAAGCCCGTGTGTCACAACTACTGAGCCCGCAAGCCACAACTACTGAAGCCCGCATGCCTAGAGCCCGTGCTCTGCAATGAGAAGCCCTTGCACCGCAATGAAGAGTAGCCACCACTCACCGCAACTAGTGAAAGCCCCTGCGCAGCAATGAACACCCAAAAATAACCACAAAAAAAAAGTCGAGATATGGCAATGGGGGGTGGGGGGAGTTGTGAGGATATGAGTGGTGGAGGACAGAGCTCCAGACCTGCACTAGCTGGGCAAAGGTCTAGAGGCTGGAGGGAGGGGACTGACTGCTATCAAGTTACAGCAAGGAGGCTGGTGTGGCTGGAGAGGCAGTGAGCAAAGGGGATGGCGTAGAAGGTGAGGTCAGAGAGGTAAAACAGCCCTCCAGATCACATAGGCTTTCCGGTCATAAGAAGGACTCTAGCTTTTGCTCAGAGCTAAGAGGCACTGGTGGGTTTTTAGCAGAGAAGTGGCATGATCTCATTCCCATTTTAATAGGATCACTCGATGCTATATTGAGAAAAGACTGAAGTGGGAGAATGATATAAACAAGTGAGGGGCCTATTATGACAATCCAGGTGAGAGGTGATGGTGCTTGGATCAAGGTGGTAACAGGAAGGTGAAGTGTGAAGGATGTGAAAGTGAAGAGTTAAGAATGGCTCCAATGATTCTGACCTGAGCATCAGGGAGGATGGAGCTGCTACGATCTGAGATGGGGGAGACTGTAGAGAAGCAGGTTTAATAGGGAGGATCAGAGCTCAGTTTGGGACCTGTTAAATTTGTTTTTGTTTTTTTAAACTTTTTGGCCAAGCTGAGCGGCTTGCAGGGATCTTAGCTCCCCGGCAGTGAAAGCACGGAGTCCTAACCTCTGGACCACCAGGGAATTCCCTGGACAGGTTAAATTTGAGATGCCTATTAGCCAATGGAAATGTTGAGCAGGTAGATGGATACACAAGTCTGGAGTTCAGGGGAGATGGTCCAGGCTGAGATATAAATGTAGGCATCTTCAGCATAAAGATGTAATTTAAAACCTTGATGACCAGATGAGACCACTAAGAGAAACAAGTAGGAGTGATGGGCTAAGTCAAATGCTGCTGATGGGCCTGGCAATGAATGAAGAAATACCAGATCCCGTTAGACCCGCAAAGTGCTGGTCATTATTGAGGGTTAGCTAGCAACAGATGGGTAAAGTACCTTCTGGGTACAGAGACAAAATGGCTCTAAGCCATGGGAACACTGGAGATAGAGGGGATGAAGAACCATGGCGTCTTGGTCTTGGAAAGGACATTAAATAGGTCATTCAATCTGTACTCGTCTCCCTGCACTTTGCCTGATCATTGAATCCCTGGCTTTAGAAAAAGAACTGTTTGTGGGATACTGAGACAACCAGTCTGGTTAGGACAGAGAAAGCACAGTTGAAAAATGAGTGGGAAATGACCTTCTGGAGTCAGAAAATCAGGGTTCAGGTCCTGCATCTGCTGCTCCCTAGCCTCGGGTCCTTAAGCAAGTCACTTCACCTCCTCCAGCCTCAGTTTCTGTGCATGTAAAGATGGGAGTAATCAAACCTTCCTTGTCTCTCCCAGGGTTGCAGAGAGGTCTGAGTGTGGCAGTGCTTGGGGTAGAGTAAATGCCCTGCTAGGGTTGGTTATTCCAAGAGCAAAAGAAGCAGGTCCAGAGAAGCCATCAGCTTGGAACGGTGAGGTAAATGGGGATGAGGAGGGAACCGCCATGTCCTCCGCGGGTCTGCAAGTGGAGAAGCTAATGAGGATTCAGGCCAGGACCTGGGCTAGAATGGGCTGGCTCAAGTGGCAAGATGGGGTCATCGGACAGAAACCCAGGCCTTGAATCTGCCTCCAGTGAGCCTGGAACCGAGATGTTGGAGACCCTGAGGCAGCGGCAGAGAAAAGAAAGAGAGACACCGAGGCAGAAAGAGGCCCCGAGACAGAGAGACGAAGAGACAGACCCAGAAACAAGCTGCCCAAGTGGGGGGGCCCATGGCGATCCGGAGAGGGCGAGGCAGAGGGGCGCAGACCCCAGCAGAGCTGAGACCCTGCGCGGCGCAGGTCACAGCGCGCGGGCCAGAGTCCCCTGCGGGGCCCGACCGGCCGCGCCCGCTGGGCGCCCCCGTCCGGGCTGCTCGCCCAAGATGGCGATGGAGGGGCGGGCGAGCCGGCGGCAGCCCGGGCCCCCGCGCCGGCCCCCGCTCGGGCCGGGGCCCCCGAGGCCGCGCCCCCGCCCGCGGCGCCGCGCCTCCCCGGGCCACTGAAGCCCGGCGCGCCCTCCCCCGGCAGCGGCGGCCAAGGCGCGGGGAAGAGGAGGCGGCGGCGGCGGCAGCCCGGGCCCGGCCCCATGGCGCGGGGGGACGCTGGCCGCGGCGGCAGGCTCCTCGCGCTGACCTTCTGCCTGCTGGCCGCGCGCGGTAAGGGCGGGCGCTGAGGCAGTGGCGGGAGCGGCTCCGGGGTGACTGTGCGTTGGCACCCGGGGCTGCGCCGGCTGTGGGGCCGGCGCGTCCCGAGTCCCGAGCGAGCGCTGGGGCCGGGGGAGGCGGTGGGGGTGGTGCGGGCTGCGCGTCCTTGTGTTCGCGATGCGTGCGCTCTGGGGTCTGCGAGCCGCGGCCGGGGACGTTTGCGGCGCGTACTTGTCCGCAGGGGGTGTGTGTCCTTGGTCTGCGGAGTCCGGAGTGAGTGTGTGAGTGTGTGTGTGCGTGTGCGCGCGCGCGCGACCGCGTGCAGAGAGTGGGGAGGGGGCTTCTGCGGGGCGTACGTGTCCGCAGCGCGTGGCCGGTCACGGCGTGGCATCGCGGGCCGTAGCTGAGGTGCCGGTGGTTTGTGCGGGGCGGGCTCTGCCTTTACCGCGCGTGTCTCCGGGTTGGGAGTGTAAAGGGGGTTGTGTGTGTGGGGGTGTCTGCACCTCCATTTGTGTGTCGAGAGCGCGTGTAATTGTGTTTATGGGGCTGAGGTAATATTTGGCCTTGGCTTTCGGAGAGTGTCCATGCCCTTGGTGGGGGGACAGAAGCATGAGATTGCGGATTGACTGGGAATAGTGGTGATAAAATACTCAACTTTGTCCGGTGGGTGTGGTCCCTGAAGCTGGGTGGGGCTGGGCGGAGGGGGTGGGGAGCGCGGGAGTGTTGCCCCCTCCGAACCCGAGGCCGGGAGTGGGCTGGGGGAGGGCGCAGGAAACCAGTTGCTTTCGTGGACATGTCCGACACCCGCTCTCAGGATGGGACGCGTGTCACTCCTGCCCCACCCCCAGAGGCAGATCTGAGAAGCGTGGACGGGGTCAGCAAGGCCTCCTCCAACCCCCCACCTCAGTGCGAGGTGAGGGTGGGTAAGAGTCAGAGTTGCCCTCGCTGGAGAGAGGGCTGGGGATGGGGGTGACGGAGTCCCAAGCGTCTCTGCCTAGGGAGCCTTCTTCCACCCCCAGCCCTCTCCCTTTCGGTCCTGTGTGCGTTTCGGGGCGGCCCGTGGGCTAGGTGGTTGGTAGGGCTGGGGAGGGGGATGGGCTGCCCGCTTTGTTCGCCTAGTTCTCGCCTTCCCAGCCGAGGGGGGAGCTGAGGATGTGTCCGGAGCCAGTCGGGGAGGGACTTGATGGTGGGGGTGGGGAGGGGGATTTCTCTCCAGCTGCTGTGGCTTTCTAGAGAGACTCAGCCAGGCCACGTGGGAAGGAGGCAGGGACGGCGGAGGGGGGAAGGAGCCTCCGCCTGGCCCGCCCCGGCCCATCTCCAGGAAGCCCAAACAGCGGGTGGGAAAGTCTCGGGAACTACTCGGACCCCCTCTCAGCCTACAAAGACACGCCCCTTTTCAGACCTGACTGCGGACCCGGCAGGAGGCCGTCCGGGGGCGGGGTCCCGGGGGCGGGGTCCCGGCGGCTAGGCTAGGGAAGTGGGGGGCCCGGGGTTGTCAGGTGGAGGGGGAGGGGAAGTGCCAGAGAGGCGTCTGTCCTTCTGGAGGCCAGGGGATTAACGAATAGTTGGGCCCACCCTCTTCTGCTTTTCTGAGAGCTCCGGACCGGGCTCGGGGTCATCTAGCAAAGCGGAATCATGGCTGGGAACTGCACTCACTCGGGCATTATGGAGTATCGGTGGGGCCTCCCTACGAGGGGCTCAGTTTCCTCTCTGGGGTTCCCGAGTGCACAAGGCAGGGGCAGGGCCCGAGCTGGGGCTCCCTTGGCAGCAGTGTGCATGGCTGAAGCAACTACTCTGCTCGCCCTCAGTCCTAAATCCTTTGAGTGTGCAAAGCTCGTCAGGCTTGGGGACACTCCTATAGAGTTCTGACTAGCCTCCCCGATCTGGACGGAGGCCATTTATTCATTCATTCAACAAATATTTACTGAGTACCCTTTTCGGCTAGCACGTGACTGGTGCCTGAAATATAGTAAATAGGGAGGAGACTGACAGGTAGTCTAGAAAGGTCAGGAAAGGCTTCCTCCAGGAAGCGGTAAATAATAGAGCTCAGTGCAGAGGGTCAGTTGGCCCTGCAGGAGAGTGATGACGGGGTGAGTTTTTCAGAGAGAACAGCATGTGCAAACGCTCAGGGGTGACTTCGTTTAGACCACCGAATGAAGCTAAATCTGGCTGGAGTTTAGAGCACAAGGCAGGAGGGTGGGGCAGGTTAGAGAGGAATGGGACAGGGGCCACAGAGTGTCAAAAGAGAAGGCTGAAGATGGAGGCTGGACCCAACTCATGAAGGGGCTTGTAAGCCCCACCAAGGTTTCTGGCCTGAGAGCCTGCATGAGCCCTTGGAGGGTTTTAAAATCAGCTTTGCATCAGCTCACTCCAGCCGATGTGGAGAATGATTGGACAGGATGGAGGCAGGAAGCTGCAGCTTCTTGGGAGGCTGTGGTAGTAGTCCAGAAGAGAGGATGTTGCTGGCAACTAGAGTAGTGGCAATTGGGATGGCTACAGTGGATTCTAGAATATTTAGGAAGTAGAATCGGCAGGATGTGAGGATAGATTGAGTTTGTAGGGAGTGAGGGAGAGAGAAGTAAAACATAATAGACACTTCAGCAGCCTCGACATGGCAAAATGAAGGGCTGGTGTTGGAGTTAAGATAGTGACTGCCCGTCTCCCCGAACACTGCTCTTGGGTCAGGGCTTGGGAACTGGGGAGATGTATGCGAATGGGACTCCTGTCTGGGGGTGGTGGTGGGATGCCAAATGCTCTGTTTTCACCACATGCAAGAAGTGGGGTTCTCCCTTCCACCCAGTCAGAATTTGGGGGGTGGTGATGCCAGAGGTCAGTAGCAGGAGGGCTCTAATGCTTTCTCCTCACCGGGGAAACTCCCCCCTCCATGCCTTTCTCAGCCCAGAAGCTCAGAGACCAACTTCAGTTAGTTGGGGTGTTGGGGCCCTCTCTGACCTCATCTTGGAGGTTAGGAACCAGGTCAAATATATTGTCTTGGTCAAAAAGTTCGTTCAGGTTTTTCCATAAGAAAAATGTTACGGAAAACCTGAACAAATTTTTTGGCCAACCCAATAGTTTCTCTTAATAGTGAATCTAAATAATCCAGAAGTTATCTAAACCTTCATTGATCCTGTATGTATTTTCATGGCCCAAGTAATCATACATTATGTGTAAATCAGCATTTCCTTTCTTTTCTCCTAAAGGTACGTTGTTTCAAGTTGAGTAATCCCACAATTAGCGTCATTGAATGTCAGCACTGAGGGGAACTTAGAAATAATTTTAGCATGAACCCATTTTACAGATGAGAAAACTGAGTGACTTCCCAGAGTTACATGGATGGGGACTGAACTGGGACTGGAACCAGTCTCCTGGCTCTTGGAGCAGCCGTACTTTCCCGGGATTTGGTACACATGAACGCAAGTTCAGTCTCTCTTCACCCCCTCCCCCTCACCTGAGAAGTTATCAACAACTTTGGGCTTGGCCCCCCTCAGGTGGTGTGTTTGGGTCTGGGCTCTGGAATCCACTCTGCTCCACCCATCCCCACCCACCGCATCCTGTTCTGCCTCCGCTGTTTCTGAGGTACAGAAACCAGACTTGACACAGAATTCCAGATGCAGAACAGATGTCATTGCCAAGCAGGCCTGGGGGCTCCCAGCTCCCCGGGTTGGGGGGAAGGAAGAGGAAGAGTGGTTCTGATGGAGGAGGACCCCAGCCCCAGCCTGGTCAGAGGCGGGTGACGGCACCTGAGGGGAGAGAAGAAAACCAGAGAGAGGATGACCTGGGCCTGACGTCCTTGTCCTTGGGGCTGGCTGTGCTGCCAGCTAAAAGTGCCTCACTGCTGAGGCTGAGGCATTCCTCTGGAATTGAGGGGCTGTGGGGTCACTGTGGTCCGGGAAGCCGAGGCTCAGTAAATTCTCTCTCAGGTGCAGACCTGAGCATGGAAGCTGGTGCAGAGCCAAGACTTCCAGATGGTTCCATAGGGGCTCATTACCTTGTCACTTAGTTTGGAGCTCTGGCAAATGAATGGAGCATAGAGAGACAAGGCTGGGCACACAAGGAAGGTTTTTTTTTTTTATACATCTTTATTGGAGTATAATTGCTTTACAATGGTGTGTTAGTTTCTGCTTTATAACAAAGTGAATCAGCTATACATATACATATATCCCCATATCTCCTCCCTCTTGCGTCTAAGGAAGGTACTTTTAATCAGACCATCCATATAGCAGAAGAGGTGAGGTCGTGAGCTCCCCAGTCCTGGTAATGTTTAAGCAGAAGAGTTTCTTTCAATGTGAGTTTGCTGTTCTGTCTCGGTGCTGCTTCTTTTTTTTTTTTTAATTTATTTTTGGCCACGCCAGGCGGCTTGCGGGATCTTAGTCCTTAGTTCCCTGACCAGGGATGGAACTTGGGCCCAAGGCAGTGAAAACGCGGAGTCCTAACCACCAGACCACCAGGGAATTCCCTGTCTTGGTGCTTTTTAAGCATTTTGTTACGTGTCTCATACGTGCCACATAGTGTGCTAGGCAGTTTCCACGTATATTATCCACATCATCCCCAGCCCTGAAGGGAGTTCCTATAATTTTTCCAGATAAGGAAATTGAGGCTTGGCAAAGCATGAGGGGCTCTGTGTCTTATCTTTTTGAGTGTGTCTCCGCATGTCCACTCATCTGTTCAAGAACTGTTTATTGAGCGCCTACTATGTGCCAGACAGTGTTTTAGGTCCTAGGGAATTAGAGTGCTGACTAGGACAATAATCCTGGGCTTGTTGCCTCGCTGGCAGAAAGGCAAGTCAAAAGTCTAGAGTGCTAATTGCAATGACCCAGGTGCCCAGGGTCCTATGGGGCAGAAAAAAGGAGAGGCGTCGAAATCAGACCCCAGGATGGCACAGCTACTGAAGGAAGAGGGAGCAGCATAGGCAACGCATGGAACAGCAGTGTGCTTTCAGAGAACGGGAAGTGGTTTAGTCTGGTGGGGACCCAGGGTGACAGGGAACAGGAGGTAGGCAGGTCAAGCTGAGTGGCTTTGCTCTCAAGTCTGCTGAGGCTGAGCCTGTCTCCTGAGGATCACAGACGAAGGGAACGCTGCCTTCCCTGTGTCCCAGGCAACCGTCCCAAGTTCTCCTTCCAGCTGTTGCGGGAGGGGCTTAGTGTGTGGTATGGGAGGTGGCCAAGGTGGGGGGCGGGGAAGGAGGTTTTTGGAAGAAACTGACTTGTGTCTCCTAGGAGAGGAGAGTGGTGATGGCGTCGTGGAGAATTGCCCGTGTGGACCGAAAACAAGTTGTAAATCTGGTGGGCCCTGAGATTAAAAAATGACAAGGCATTGATGTTTGTGGCAAGTTCTTGGCTTAATGAAGGAGGCATCTCGGCTTTGTTCCCCACCCCATCCCCCAGTCCCAGGAACTCTCAGTTCCTGAGAGTTCACTGAAGAATGGAACCCTGGCTTATGCCAGGCCCGCACTAGTCCCACAAAAGAGCACTGAGCTGGCCCTGGGGCTCAGCAGCGAACCTCCTTTCTGTCTGGGTTCTAATTGGCCTCATAAAATCTAATTTATCCTGTAAATGGGTAAAATAATGTCAGAAGGAGGAGATTGAGAGATGGCCCTGGGGCTCCTAAGCATAGATACTCCACGTCTCTGGCAGGGTCCCACCGAGGAGACTGAGGAGAAGGGATTGTGGGAGAGGGAGTTCCCCTCGAGGCAGAACGCTAGCCAACAGCAAGTGTCCGCTATGTCCACCCAGTCCTTAGAGGGAGCACTGAGAAGTGCTCCTGGGAGGGGCTTGGTGGTCTGCCATGACAGGGGATGGGGGGGTGTGGTGGCAGGAAAGGGACAGCCACGAAACCACTGGACAAACAAGGGCCACTCCCCAGAGCATCACTTTTCCAAAAAGATTTGGTGGTGTAGGAACCACATTTACATTAAAACAAACACTGCTGTGTAATGGAATAGGATGCAAAATGTGCCAGAGGTTTCAAAATAAAAACATTTCAGGTAGTCAGCAAGCCTCCTGAGTACGTTCTCCTCTGCCGCTGGGAGAATTTTGGTGAAAATGAGAAATGTGGCAACTCTTCATTTTAAGACTGGGGAAACCGAGGCTGAAAGGAGGAAAGCGGACCCAATGTCATACAACCCATGATGGACCCAGAACTCTGACCCCAGGCCAAGGCTTGTCCCTCCACATCCCATGGTCCGCCTTAGGCAAGAAGGCAAGAGGAAGAATGGCTAAGGGACCTCCAAGTGGCTACATGATGTGAGACCCAGGAAAACCCTTCCCTGGGGAAGGCAGGGGCAGCTTCACGGAGGGATGTGGCACGTGAGGTGAGCCCCTAAGGATGCACGTCCTGGGCACAGAAGTTGGGTTGGGTGCTGGGGCAGAGAGAACCCTCTTACTTGGGAGCAACTGTCTCCTCAGTGCTGGGTTCACGCCCAGGATGTCCCCAGACTGTCTCCCAGAGAGGTGAGAACCTCCCCTTTGGGACCTCGGTTTCCCCATCTATAAAATGAGCAATCTCAGGCTCTGCATACGTTTCCATCAACGTGGGCCGGCTTGGGCTCCTGGCACGGCCCTGTACCCCCCCAGGGATCCCGGGTTCTCCCCACATCTACATCCCTGTTGGTTTCCCATTCCGCATTGCCTTGTTGGGTGCTGGGCTCCTCCGAGGTGGGGCAGCCAGACATCTGCTGATCCATGAATATTCACGAAGGGAATCGGAGCCTCCTCTGGGCTCCCCAGCAAGCCCCGGCCCCTCTGGCCGCCGTCCTGCCCTCAGGAGCCCAGGCTGCTGACAGACCCAGCAGCTGCTCGGGCCCCAACTGTTCACATTGTTTGTTCAGCGCAGCAGGGGATTTTCCAAGCCCCGGACGTGCTTTGGGGGGTAGGGAGGCTGCCGGAGGGCTCAGGGATTCGTATCATGTGGGGCTTTTCTCCCCTGAAACTCAAACCGACTGCTCAGCGGCTGGAATGGGGCAATTGGAAGCCACTGGGCTGAGAGCCCGGGCTGGCCTTCCCCCCACTGTGTTTGCATCAGAATCTAGGGCCTCAGAGAAGGGACTGGATGTTAAGAATAGCGATTTGCATTTGTACATCCCTTTCCAGTTTACGAAATGCCTTTAAAGAATGAGCTCCCATTCTTTGACTGATGCCCGTTAGGCTCTGGGCTGGAGACCTGACCCACATCTTGTTTAATCCTCACAGGCTCCATAGTATCGCCTTCATTTTTACAGATGTGGAAACTGGGCCCCAGAGAGGTAAAGTGGCTGGTAGGTGGAGCAGCAAGACTGGAACCTTGACCTTCTGCCCCAAGGTCAGATGCTCTTGCCACCCCAGCACATGGCCCTCAGTGATGCAAATGCCAGTTTGGTTTCCCCAGTTAGACTGGAAACTGAGTGAGGGCAAGGGCTGCCTTCTCCTTGCTGCACCCACTAGTAATGCTGAGCCCAGCTGTGTAGCTGGAGGTGCCAGCGGAGCCTTTAAGAAAGGCAGAGGCCTGTTCAGACCCTGTCTGTCTGTCCTTCCCACTGTGGTGTCAGAGGCCTGGCTTCTGCCCTGGCCTCCTTATCTCAGCCAGTTAGGACCTCTCTTCTCCCCTCAGTCTTGATCCTCTTCAGGGGTTTAAGTGTTGGCATATATGTGTGTCCAGGCGTTGATGAGTGTGGCAGAGAAGGGGGGAGCACGTGTTTAGGTATGGCAGGTCGTGTCTACAGTTTTGTGTGTGTGTCTAGATGATGTTCTGTATCTGTTCAGGAGTAGGTGAGTCCAGCTCACTGAATAATCCTACCATCATAGAATCTTCGACATCACCCACTACATTGGAGAAAACTAGAGCCCAGAGGTGGAAGTGACTGGCCCAAGGCCACACAGCTAGACTGTGACAGAGCCGGGGCTAGAACTGAGGGTCGCCGGAGTCCTTAGCCGTTGTGCTTTCTGCATGCCCCTGACAGGGCTCTGTCAGCCCTGGCCTGCCTTGTGATGAGTGTCCTCACCTCTGTCCCTGGCTCACTCTCAGACACACCACTGTGCCTTTAAGCAAGGTGTCAGGCCAGAGGATAAGAGGGCACCTCGGGCCATTAAGCTTTTATGGGACAGGAAGGCAGCAGGTCAACCGTCTGGAAGATGCAACTGGAAGAGAACCAACTATTTCTCTATGAATAACGGTTACTGGGCCTTGCTGAGATGTTGGTTAAAATGATAAACTTGGCATTTGTGTGTTTTTGCCTTGACCCTGGGATGGCATTCCCTTCCTCCATTGTTCTCCTGCTCTTCCCTTTGCGGCCAGGGCAGTGTTGGAGCTGCAGGCTCTTCTGGGGCATCTGGAGAAGGTCAGGGACTGGGTTCTGCACTGGCTTACTGCGTGGCTTTGGGGGAATCAGCTGCAGGAAGGAGAGCTTACCTCTCCCAGTCACTGCGGCAGAAGTGGTTTGGCTAATAGTGGTCAGGACGATCTGTGGGATTCCAGGAGAGGGAATGACATTACTGAGCCCCAGTTCTGTGCCAGGCCAGCCACTGTGCTGTACTCCTTTACCACACAGCATCTCATTGAGCGCTCACAACAGCCCTCTGAGGAAGGAATGACTATGTCTTTTTAAATTGAGACGCAATTCACATACCACAAAATTCACCGTTTAAAGTGTACAAATCAGTGGTTTTAAGTATATTCACACGGTTGTGCAACCATCACCACTATCTAATTCTAGAACGTTTTCATCACCTAAAAAAGAAACCATCTCTCCTCATTCTTCCCTCTCCCCAGTCCCTGACAACCATTAATCTACGTTCTGTCTCTATGGATTTGCCTATTCTGGACATTTCACAGAAATGAGATCATACAATATCTGGCATTTTGTAACTGACTTCTTTCACTTTGAGGAAAGTTTTCAAGGTTTATTCATGTTGTAGCAAGTATCAGTACTTCATTTCTTTTGATGGCTGAGTAATATATTTATCTGTTCATCAGGTGATCGGGCATTTGGGTTGCTTCTACTTTTTTGCTAAGAACTGTGTTATTTTGTGGATGAGGAAGCTGAGCAGCGGGGGAAGGATTGGGAACGAAGTGCAGCCGTTGGCCCAAGATCACAGTTAGTCAGAGGCAGAGCCAGGATCCAGACACAGGTCTCTCCGTGAGACCTCTTTCTCTGAGGTTTGCCTTCCTCGACCCGGGGTGGGTGACTCGGGCTCCGGAGGCTGTGGGATGTAGGAGGACACACACTGATGACCCTGGTGACCCCTCCTCTACGCAGGGGAGCAGCCGTTGCCCCGGAAGACGACCGTGTCGCTGAGCTGTGGAGCAGGGCCGCTGCAAGTGATCCTGGGCCCGGAGCAAGCCACGGTGCTGGACTGCGGTCTGGGGGCGGCTACTGCAGGACACCCCCCCAGCGTCACGTGGAGCAAGGATGGAGGCATCCTGCCCGAGCACAGCCACCTTCGCCTGCTACCCAATGGCTCCCTGTGGCTGTCCCAGCTGCCAGCTCCCGACGGCACTGACCCTGGGGCTTCAGAGGTCATTGAGGGCAGCTATTCCTGCCTGGCCCGCAGCCCCGTTGGAGTGGTGGCCAGCCAGGCTGCGGTGGTCAAGCTTGCCAGTAAGTGCTACATCTTGGACTGAGCTGAGGCCCATAAGACGTGGGGTGTGGGAAGTGGGGTCTGCAGTTAGATACTTGCACAAAGGTTTGACTCTGAGCCACGCCCCCTTTCCCTGCCTCCTTTGCTGCTCAGTGGGTCCCTTCCTGGTATTGTCTGCCTCACTATTCAATAGTCTCACTTCTTCCCTGCTCTTCTGTTCCTCCTCCTTTTCCTTCCCTGTGAGTTTGAGAGTCTAGACTTGTGCTCTCCTCCAGGAAGCCTGCCGGAGAGGTTTATAAGCACGTCAGGGGCACAAAGGTGCTCCCCACCCCCACAGCAGGTGGAGTGTGTAGAGCCGAGCTGTGTTGTCCAGCTCACTCACTCTTCGGGGGTTCTCAGGAGGCACAGATCACCATGAAACAATTTGGGGGCCAGAAGAAATGCACATCTTACTGTAGTCCAACCATATGGTGATGTAAGGCAGGGGGACTTTGGAATTCATTCTGCCTGCAGCATCTGACCAGTCATCACCACTTCTTATTCTCCGACTGCCTCTTTCCAACTGTGTCTCCGTCGGTCTGAATTCTTTTTGCATGTGTTTCTGTCAACCTGTGTCTCTCTGTGTCCGTGTGTGTGTGTGTTTCCTGTCTGCTCGCTGTGGCCTCCTTTCTTGTGTTCCTCTCCTGTCCCTGCGTTTTCTCACTGCCCTCATCCCCAGCACTTGCAGGCTTCTCCCTGCACCCACAGTCTCAGACGGTGGAGGAGAACGGGACCGCTCGATTTCAGTGCCACATCGAAGGGCTGCCAGCACCTGTCATTACTTGGGAGAAGGACCAGGTGACGGTGCCTGAGGAGCCTCGGTGAGTGTCCTGTGGGCAAGAGGAGAGTGGGTCTCAGGGGGCAGCCAAGGAGGGCTCTGGGATGTGCTCAGGAACTGGGCTTCTTAGAGTCAGGGTGGCTCCGTTTGTCCAAACTGACTTAGGAGCCAACCACCACCTGACACTCAGCCCATTTCTGGTCCCAAAGAGAAGTTGTGTCAGAAGTTTTTGCTCCCTGGGAGGAAAGCCACCCACCAAGCTATGGGGCTTGGGTAGAGAGCAGTTATCGAGTCCTTCAGAGCATATGTAGTCCAACCACTTGCCTTATTGAGAAGGAGACCAAGGGCCAGAGAAGAGCTGTGCTTTAACCAAGGCCACACGGTGAGCCATTGGCAGAACGTTTGTTGTTTGTTCCGGGCCCAGAGGGTTTCCCTTTGCAGGTTCCCCTGGAGTTTCTACCTTGGATGCATAACTTCTCTTCTTCTCTCAGTTCTACTCAGTGGGGTGCAGCATCTGATAACCAGGTTGTGGAGGTCCTTCCTGTTTCACCCTCCTCTCTCCCCATAAAGGCAATGGAGCAATCCTAGGGAAGGGTTTCTAGGGCAGAAGAGAAGCATAGGCTAGACCCAGGACCTGATCCCTACTGCGGTCTCCTGGGAAGGCCCAGATGTACACACAGCATGTCCAGAAAGCACGAGGCTCATTTGCATCTGTGGTCTTGGAACTGGACTCATGGCTCGGCTGCCACCACATGGAGTCTTACACCTTTGGAAATGTGGCTCCAAAGGCCTTTCCTAGCCACGCTGCTGTCCTCTCCCTGCATCTCTCTAGCTGTAGTTACCAGCTCACGCTCTCCTCTCCCAGCAGAGGTGGGATTCCTTAGGCTCAGAAACACTGGTTTCCAGATCTCCCTGCCCTGGAACTAACCTGTCTTCAGTGTATTGAGTTGTCCCAACTCCTCTGACTTTTGCCCGTGTCTAGGTAGGGGTGAGAGTGTAAGAGAAACTTCTAGATAGAAAAGCCCCAGGCCACATCTCTGCAACAGTTGTAAGTGAGGAAGAAGGGTGAGAGAGGTCAAGATATAAGTGATCCTGTTGACTTTGGTGATCAGTCAGCCCCAATGGTCCAGTGGGTTGAATTAGATCACGGTTTCCAAAGTGTGTTCTTTTTTAGAACGTTAGTCCCTAAAGATGATTCTTGAAAAAAAAAAGTACTCCGCAGTCAAATAAGATGAGGAAACTGCCTATAAATCTCCCTCTTGGAGTTGACAAGGCCCTGAGAAGCCCTGTACTGAGAAACCTGTTTAACTTGTTTAACCAAATGCTTCCTAGACTCATTTGCCCAGAGCCCCTCTTGCAGGAACACTGTTAACATCCTAGGAATGAGCATTCCAGGGAGGAGACCTTGGGAATGCTAACCCAGCCTTCCTAGCGCTGACATTTTAAGGTCTCTGCCTCTTTTTTTTTTTTTTTTCTGGCCCTGCCTCATGGCTTGTGGGACCTTAGTTCCCTGACCTAAGGGATCGAACCCGTGCCCCCTGCATTGGGAGCACAGAGTCTTAATCACTGGACCACCAGGGAAGTCCCAAGTTCTATGCCTTTTAAATGTGGAGCCTCTCACCCCTGTGAGCGAGTTGTTGGATGAGAACCAAGTGAGAGTCTACTCCTGGGACAGCCCCCAGAGAGGGTGGGAGAGAGCAGAAAACTCTCCCTGCGTTAAAAGTCGCAAGAGGCTTTGCTTCATTAGAGCTGTGTTTTCTCACTTAATCCTTCCCATGATCCTTCAAGGTAAGTGTTCCTTATTTTTCATATTTTCCTCTATTTACTTTTAGTTTATATTCCTATTAGATACATTTTTCAAATTCATATAAACAAAAAAGAAGAAACAAAAATGGCTCGTCCTCTTATCACCCATAGAAAGCCTCTGTTAGTTTTGATGTCTATCCTCTGGACCTTTCCCCTGTATGTTTTTTTTTTGCGGTACGCGGGCCTCTCACTGTTGTGGCCTCTCCCGTTGCGGAGCACAGGCTCCGGACGCGCAGGCTCAGCGGCCATAGCTGCTCCGCGGCATGCGGGATCTTCCCGGACCAGGGCACAAACCCATGTCCCCTGCATCGGCAGGCAGACTCTCAACCACTGCGCCACCGGGGAAGCCCCCTCCCCTGTATGTTTATAAATATTCTCTTTCAAATTTTGGATCATATTGTACATACTGGGTTTTTTGTTCAATCACCTTTTTTTAGAAAACAAAAATGGGATTATATTGCAACTTTTTTTTTCACTTAACACGTAAGGAACCCCCTTCCAGGTCTATCTGTATGGCTGTGGCAGATACTGTTATCTGAATTCTTAAATGAGGGAACTGAGGATCAGAGACAGAAGTCACTTGCCCCAGGTCACACAGCTGGTGCTGAGAGTATCTGACAGCGGAGCCCTGGGGTGGATGATTTGGTGGTTGGAGTGGGGAAGCCACAGGGTCTGAAGAAACTCCTGTTGCAGGCTGGCTTAGAGTTGGAGTGGTCCAGCTGTGCTCAGAGCAGAGAAGTTACTTCCCCAAAGTTTCTCAGCAAACAGAGGAGTTCCCTCATCTCCCAACATCTAGTTCAGGCCTCTCCCAGGAGGCTGGAGCTGCCAGTTCCTGGCCTCTGGGAGTGTTTGCCCCCAAGTCCTCTGAAAAGTGATCCTCATCTATAAATAAGGCAAGCTCACATGTCCCAGCACATTGTGTGTGTGGGGGGGGGAATAAAGAAATATCTCAAACAGCAACTTGATTATGCCCAAGGTATGTATTTTTACACATACCCAGATAGAGTTCACATAGAAATATGCTATTCATAAACTCAACCCAGTGATTTGAAGGAGACCATATGCCTTGGTGTAGGCTGTGCACATGTGCAGTTAATAAGCACACTCTGTCAGGGTCTATGTTCATATTTTGGGAACTGATGGTAAACACTAGACCCTGAGGCAATTCCCTGACACTTATACTAACTTCTAATGATAGGGGATAATTTTTCTTCCATGGGAACCAGTAATCAATGAGAGCAAAGTTTCCCAGATCGCAGGCATTCACAAACCCCTGTCATATTTTTGGCCATCCCTCAACCATTTATACAACACTTACTTAATACGTTTCTTCAAATCAACTCTCTCTTTTGTAACTTTAACACATACTAAAAAGGAACGTTATCTCACTGCAGTAAAATGGAAAACCAGCAGCACTGACCTTAAATAGAAGGTAGCCATAAAAATGAATATATAACCACTGGAATAAAAACCTGTGTCTAGATCCACTTGAAATCATTTTGTTATCACCATTCACTCACACTTTAAAACCATGGCACTAATGGATTTAATTACTGCAGGCTCCCTAGACCAGTCCTCTGCCCTACCCATCTCCTAGGGTCCATCGTGTCTGTCAGCCTCATGTGACCCTTGGCTAGTGTCCCTTTTCCCTGGGTGGATCTCTGAACGGCTCAGGGTGGAGGCTCCTTGGCCCTCAGGAAATTCAGAGCAGCTGTCATTTCTCCTCTGTTCTTGAATCTCTGGGTCCAAGTGGCCTTTTGCGGGTACGGGCAGCAGGCTGAGGCTCAGGCTTGGAAAGAGAATGGTCCCTTTTAGCTAGAGGTTGCTTTTCATTCTATAAGTAGCTATTTTGTTTTATTTGAATTCATTTTAAAATGATAAAACATACTAACTTAAAGGGAAAAAAGTCACCTACAAACTGAGCACAGATAGCTGTTACCATTATCTAATGAGAGCTTATGACACATTAACAGGGTCGGGGTTGTGAAGTAGGCAGGAATTATGAAACCCATTTTTCAGATGAGAAACCTGAGGCCTGGACATGTGATGCCACTTGCTAAAAATCACATATGTTGGAATCAGTTCTCTCCTCTATGCCACAGCTGCTTTTATATTAGAGCCAGGAGTTACAAAACAAAGTGTACAAGGGCACATGCTTTTTTCCATTTAAGTTCTTTTAAGTTTTGTATTTCCAAACTAATAAATGTTCACTGTAACCAAGAAATTTAAAAACGCAACAAAAAAGAGCCCTACTCCCAGAGAAAACCTCCACGAGTGACGTGAGTTTTACCACCCTTGACTTTTTCCGCGCACATTCTAGCATATCATTTATCTATTTTCCAAAAATAGAATTGCTTCATAAACACTGATTTGTGAATTCTTTCCCCCCACTAACCAATGTGTCTTGGACATTCTTCCAAGGACAGAGCTTTTTAAAACACATTTTAACAAAGCAGCAGAAATTTTAAATGAACACTAAAAGTGGTTCCATTTCACTTGTGTTGGCTCTAGCAACAGCACCACACCCGCATTCATTCATTCAACACACGTAATTAAGGCAATGTTACTTGTCAAAGGAGGTATTAGCTCTTGGATACCTGGAGCACAATTTCCCTGGAAAGAGTGAGAAACTTTGGGGTTAGGAAGTGTGGGCAGCTCCTGGCGTGAATCCTGCTGACAACAGCTATGGAGACTGAGGAAGGAGGAAGGGTCTTAAGAGGCAGAGAATATTAGGTGGAGGAGCCGTGGATGGGGATGGGGGCCTTGTTTCTGAGATGGGTCCTGCTTGTCCTTCCTCACTTGTCATTTCCCATCAAATTTTCCATGGCAGCAGGCTGGGTCCTGGCCCAGGATTTTCTCTCCAACCACCCTGCCCCTTCTGGTCCCCTCTCCCAGCACTGATGTGGGCAGCTCTTGGAACTGAGGTTAAGACTCTGGGGCAGAGATGGGTTTGCCTGTGGGCTGAGGGAAGGAGTGATGCAGGTTTATGTTTTTTCTCTAAGTCTTTGGGCCACAGCAGATTTCTAGGCTCATGGTCAGAATTCTCTCCCAACACCCTTGAGCTAGTTCTTTTCTCCTGTGTTTAGATTTTTCTCATACCCTGCTTTCCCCACGAGCCAAGGGGTCTTCACCAAGTGCACAGCTGCCCCATTCCCTCCCTGACCTTGGCCCAGCCTACATCCACAGGACACTTGCTCTAGTGAGAAATTAGAACTCTCACCCTCGAGCTGACCCTGCAGGGATCACAGCTAGAGGATTCAGGAAGACCCACTCCCTCCCTGCTTGGGCCAGAGCCCATTCTGCTTCCCACCACCCTGGCTCCCATGGGTACTTCCCTGCCTGGGATTGCACTGTCTCTCAAGCAAGGTCTCTGGGCCCTTCTAGCCCAAACTGCTTTCCAACCCTCACCAAAAGGGTAGAGAACACCACTCTCATCCATCCTGCCCCTCCTCAGTAGTGTACGTGTTGCCTGGGACTTGGTGGAGACCACGTCCCTTCTAGTGGCCGCTGAGACAAGCAAGTGAGAAGAACGTGGGATTTGGCACCAGAAGCCCTAGGTTCCAGTTTTAACTCTGCTCGAGCTGTGAGACCCTGGGAAAATACCCTACTCCCTCCAAGACTTAGTTTTGTCACCATTAAAATGAAGGCTGTGATCCCCTCTACCCCTTGGGCTTGTTTCGAGGTTCAGATGAGATAGTGTGAATAGAAGGGATTTTATCAGGGAGACAGGAGGTAATACAGGCAGGGGGTAAACAAATTCAAACTATACAGAAGGTTATTTAATGAAAATTAAATCTCCCATTGACAGGTCCCAGGATCCCAGGTCCCCTCCCCAGAGATAGCCACGATTACCAGGGACATTCAGTGCAAAAGCATATAAGTGTACGCGTCACACACACACTGTTCTGTACCATACATATTTTGGAGATGGTCTTATAGCAGTACGCATTGAACTGTCTCCTTTTAACAGCTGCCTAGCATTCCATTGTGTGAATGTACCCAGACCGATTTAGCTAGTTCCCACCCTACAGATGGACATTTGGACTGTTGCCATTCTTTTGCTATTACAGACAGGGCTGGAGTGAATATCGTTAGACATACGTTTTTGTGTACATGTACGAGAATATCTGTGGGACAAAGTCCTTGAAGTGATGTTGCTGGTTCAAAAGGCACATGCAGGTTTGATCGTAAGATATCACCAGCTTGCCCTTGAAAGAGGGTGTATTGATTTGGCATGACCACCAACAAGACAGGACTGCCTTCCCCCATTCCCTCATCCGCAAAGGGTGTTATTAAACCTTTTGACTGGACAAGCTATGTGGCCCCCAAAAAAAGAAGAAACAAAAAGAAAATTAAAAAACCAAAAACAAAACCTTTTGACCTTCGGGACTTCCCTGGTGGCGCAGTGTTTAAGAATCCGCCTGCCAATGCAGAGGATACGGGTTCGAGCCCTGGTCCGGGAAGATCCCACATGCTGCGGAGCAACTGAACCCGTGCGCCAAAACTACTAAACCTGTGCTCTAGAGCCCGCAAACCACAACTACTGAGCCCGCGTGCTACAACTACTGAAGCCCACATGCCTAGAGCCTCTGCTCCGCAGCAAGAGAAGCCACTGCAATGAGAAGCCTGTGCACCACAATGAAGAGTAGCCCCCGCTCACCGCAACTAGAGAAAGCCTAGGCACAGCAACGAAGACCCATCGCAGCCAATAAATAAATTAATTTAAAAAAACACTTTTGACCTTTGCTAATCTGATAGGTGAAAATGGTATCTTGTAGTTTTAATTTGCATTTCTTTTATTATGAGTGAACCTTGAAAGTGAACTGCTCTAGGTATTTCAGGCCAGAGGGGAAGGTGGGTCCAGGACTGTTTGGGCGTGCTACCCTCCCTGAGGAGCTCCTGCGCACCTCACAGGTGCCCTCTCTCTCTTCCCAAGGCTCATCACCCTTCCCAATGGGGTCCTCCAGATCCTGGACGTTCAGAAAGGTGATGCAGGCTCCTACCGTTGCGTGGCCACCAACTCAGCAAACCAGCGCTTCAGCCAGGAGGCCCTCCTCCGCGTGGCCCACAGAGGTAAGGGGGCTGCCTGGGTGCGGAAACCTGGGGGTTTCTGGAGTCGGCCATTTTGGAGCTGGGCGGGGCCTCAAGTAGTCCAAGGCCTGCCTTCAAATAAGTGACTAGCAAGGCGATAAAGCCCAGAGAAGGCAGTGCCCCCCAACAAGTCAGAGATAGAACTGGGGCAGGAACCCAAGACTCCCAGTTTAGGGCTCTCTTCCTGCGAGGCTCTGTGTTCTCTTGAGTTGGGTGGAGCGTCCAGGGGTGGGGAGGTGAGGCGTCCGTGGAGGAGTGTCGGTCCCCTGAAGCCCTGGTCCCCTGCCTTCTGGGTGTCCTGAAGGGGATTCACCCTGCTGCTGCTTGCTGTGCATCTGGCTCCTGATGGTCTGGGGCTCGTGTTCTCTCCATTTCTCTGAAAATCTCCCGTCCCAGGGTGATGCAGTAGGAAGGACACAGGCTTTGGGGTCAGAACGACCTGGTTTGAATCCTGCCTTCTCTACTCACCATCTGCGTGACCCTGGGTTCCTTATCAAATGTCCAGTTCAGGGAGGTGGTGAGAATCGCTGAGATAAGATTGGGAAGTGCCTGCTGCCTAGCAGGTGCTCAGTAGATCTCACTCCGGGCCTCCCACAAGGGCCTCTCCCTTGCCTCCTTTGCCATGGCATCTCCCCTCGACCCCCGCCCCTCCGTTCTTCTCTTCCCATCCCCCTCCTCATCCCCTACACCTCCACTCCTACCCTGCTTCCTAGGGCTTAGCTGACGCGCTGAGTCTGGTTCGCGCTCCCTCCTGTGCCCGGGGTCTCTGCCTCCACCTGCTGGACAAACCGGGTATTCACCATGTTGACCCAGGGACCCAGGGTCACACTGAGAACTTGGCCGAGAATTAGTGCTCAGGGGGCTGCCAGGCTGGCAGAAACTCGAACCCATCCCCTGCCTTTCCCACGTGGGAATCGAGGCCCTCTGGAGAAAGGACTTGCCAGAACTAGAAACTATAACTGTTGACTCCAAGTCCAGACTCCAAGTCTACTCTTTTTTTTTCTTTTGTTTTAAACTGGGGTATAGTTGTTTCCAAGTTCACTCTTGACCCTGCTGGTTCTCTGCCTGGAGGGTGGCTTCAATCTGACAGGGGAGAATGGGGGTGGTGTGTCGGAGGTCAGGTTATTCCTCTCCTGGCTCCCAGAGAAAGAGCTCTGAGTTCCAGTCCCAGCTCTGCTGAACTACGCAGCTGCTTTCCCATCTGTCAGATGGAACCCTGGCTGCTCCCTGCCCCACCTGCCTCACCAGGTGACTGTAAGCACCAGGTGAGGTGCTGCATGTGAAGACGCCTGATGGTAAAGCTGCCTGCTGGCCTGCCCTCTCTCCAGGGTCCCTGGCATCCATCGGGGGGCAGGACGTGGTCATTGTGGCAGCCCCGGAGAACACCACTGTGGTGTCTGGCCAGAGTGTGGTGATGGAGTGTGTGGCCTCTGCTGACCCCACCCCTTTCGTGTCCTGGGTCCGACAGGGTAAGTGGAGGGAGGGGACCCGAGGGCATGGGAGAGGAAGGGTGTGGCATCTCACGCATCCCCAAGTCAAGGAGCTATAAGGGTGACCATGCAATGGTCACCGACCTTTGGTATGGTAGGAACTAACTCCTGTCCCAGGGCTGAGTGTGGGTAGGGAGCCTGGACAAAATTAATCATCAATCCGTGTAGCAAGTTTCCTTTACGAAGCGCGCTAAGTCTGCCACTCACAAAATCACTCTTGAGACCTTACTTGGCGGGTGGGGCACTGGGCTCGGTTTTCCACGCTATGTTTCCAGTCCTCACAACAGTGAATGTGTGAGAGCTGGAAAGGGGCCAGCGAGTCAGGTGGAACTTGGACCCTCTGCTGGTCTGTTTAACTACACGGCACCTCCTGGTCCACCCTTTGTGTGCCTGGCTTCATGCTGGGCACAGTGAATAAAAAAGGGGGGGGCCTGCCCTCTGAACTCACAGTCTGTTTAAGGGAGATAAGCACACATCCGTGACGAGACGCTTGACAGTATCAGGCAGCAAGTGATGAGTGCCAGGTGGGAATGCATTACAGGAGATGCTATCGATGCTATCAGGGTAATGAGGGTGCCGGCCAAACGTCACCTTGCAGTCTACTGAGCATGCAACCTACTCTCCTGCTGGAGCCCTTGGAGGAGGGTAGGGGCCAGGGCTATTATTCCCAGTGGGCAGATGAGGAACCTGAGGCTCAGAGAGGAAGGTGGAAAGCCAGGACCCAAACTTTAGAGCCTGTTCTCTTTCTGGTACACCACCCCTTACAGCCCTGTATGGAAGAAAAGCAAGGATTATTTTTGTTTCCATTTGAGATAAGTGACTTGTGCCAAGTTGATGGCAGAAGTAAGTCTTAAACCCAGCTCTTTTTTTAATTATTATTTATTTATTTATTTGGCTGCGCCCGGTCTTAGTTGCGGCACACGGCATCTTTGTTGAGGCATACGGAATCTTTTAGTTGTGGCATGTGGGATCTAGTTCCCCGATCAGGGATCGAACCCAGGCCCTCTGCATTGGGAGCTCAGAATCTTACCCACTGGACCACCAGAAAGTCCCAAACCCAGCTCTTTTTACCCTTTTTCCCCTGGTTCAGTATATGACTCCACACTGCCTTCTTTTTGTAAGTTTGTTTCTCACATTCAAGACTATGTCATGATGAATACATAGAGTTTAAAGAAAAATAATAACCCAAATGACTACATACCCCCACCGAGCTGATGAGAAAGAACAGTGCTGGTATCTGTGCCTCCCTGACCTGCCCGGCCTCCTTGGACTTGTGACACTTGCCTAGTTAGGGGGATCCTGGGGCCAGCAGGACCCTCGTACTATTATTGCAGTAAGCCTGTTGTGTCACCCAGAAGTTCTATTATCAGTGTTTCTCAAATCCTGACCAGGCATCAAGATGACCCAGGGAGCTTCTTTTTTTTTTTTAGTTTTTAATTTTTAAAAAATTTTTTATTGGAGTATAGTTGATTTGCAATGTTGTGTTAGTTTCAAGTGTACAGCAAAGTAAATCAGTTATACATATACATATAGCCACTCTTTTTTAGGTTCTTTTCCCATATAAGTCATTACAGAGTATTAGGTAGAGTTCCCTGTGCTATACAATAGGTCCTTATTAGTTGTCTATTTTATATATAGTAGTGTGTACTATATGTCAGTCCCAATCCCAGGGAGCGTCTTAAAACTGCAGACTCCCTCCATTTATGCCTGGAGAGTCATGACCCAGGATTTTTAATGCTTAACAAGTGTCTGAGGTCCTTCTACAGAAAGTGTGGTCTTTGGACCTACCTCCTGGCCATAGTTAGAAATGCAGAATCTGGGGTGCCCTAGGCCTCTGCATCTTAACAAGGTCTCCTGAGATTCTGTGATTTGTGTACACAGTAAGGATTTGAGAATTGCTGTCCCAGAGGGTCCTGACACCTGTGGCTCTGGGATCTCACTTGGAGAAACTCTGCTAATAGCACTCCTGGACAGAGACTGGGAAGAGAGAAGCTGGAAATGAACTTCATTCCTGCCCCTGGGCACTGTTCCTTTTCTAGGAACTTACTCAACTAAGTCTAGGAACTTACTCAACTAAGTCAGAGGGGCATTGCTTTTTTGTTTTGTTTTGTTTTCTTCTGATGGCAAAAGTTGTACGTATTCATTGTAGAAAACTAGGGAAAAGGAGAAACAGAAAACATCCCACCACTCGGAGATTAAAATTGTTAACATATGAGCATATTTTCTTCCAGATTTTTTCTATGCACATGTACATTTTTCCCCAAAATTGAAAGCATGCTATACTTACAATTTCAAGTCATATTTTCATTCAACAGTATATCATAAACATCTCCCCATCTTTAAAACTTTTTTGAAAATAATTTTAATAACTATGATAGTCCATCATTTGAATGTCGCCATAATTTAAGTTGCTAGTTCCTGCTATTGAATTTTTAAGTCCTTCCCAGTTGTCCACTATTACAGTTAACACTGCAGTGATCAGCCCCATTCACAGCTCCCCACCACAGAGTGCCCACAAGTGGAATCCTGGCTTCAAGGTCAAGGTGGAGCCCCTGTTAGCCCTATCAGCATTTACCCTTTCTCATACTATTTTTAAAAACTTTCCCAATTTGATGGGTGAAAATGAACATCTGTGTTTTGATGTGCATTTCTTTGATTTTGTGAAGTTGAACACTTTTTTGTTTATTGGCCATTTGCATTTCTTCCCTGGATTTTCTGTTCAGGTCCATAAGGGAAGGGCTTTTAAAATGGTTTTCACTTCACATCAAGATAAAAGTCTGCACAGATTCAGATCTTTGGTTCTGGTCCAGACCTTTCCAGCCGTATGTTCATCATAGCACTGGGCTAAGACCATATGGGAGGAGAGTCCTTCTTGAGAGAAATGAATTTAATAATAATGGTAATGGTAATAACTGACTGGTGTACCGAGCACTTCTTATGTGCCTGCATTGTGCCAGCCAGTCCCACAGACTTTATTCGTTACGCTCTCAGAGCAGCCCTTCCAGCGAGGGACCGTCTCCCCATTTTACAGACAGAGACACTAAGGGCTCAGAGGAAGTCATCGGTCTAGCAAGCGGAGGAACTGAGATCCCAGCCAGCGACTGTTGTGTTCTCTTAACCCGGGTGTAGAGGGTCTCCCGAGGTCCGGAGAGTGGATGGAGGGGCAGCCCTCAGCTCCCCGCTCCAGCGCTCTCCCTCCTCCCGCAGATGGGAAGCCCATCTCCACCGATGTCATCGTCCTGGGCCGCACCAACTTACTAATCACCAGCGCGCAGCCCCGGCACTCCGGCGTCTACGTCTGCCGAGCTAACAAGCCCCGCACGCGCGACTTCGCAACCGCAGCCGCAGAGCTCCGCGTGCTGGGTGAGGAGGGGAGGAGGATGAGGGAGGGCGAAGGACCGCGGAGTAGGTGTGGAGGAGACCGGACTGGGGCGGGTTAGCTAGGGCGGGGCCGGGAGGAAAGGGGAGGGGGGTAAAAGGGCGAGTGGGTGTGTCAGAGGGACTGAGGGGCGGTGCTGGAGGATGAAAAAGGGATAGGGCGGGGGGTGGGGCATTGGAGCGGACAGACTAGGTAATTAGAGGAGAGGAAGTGGTGGAAAGAGATTGGAGGATGGAGTGGGGGCAGAGGGGAGGGGTGGTCTGGGTGGGACCCAGGTAATGTGGGGAGGGGTGGGACTGAGGTTATTGGGGGGGAGATGGAGTGGTCTGGGAGGAGAAAACTAGGGGCAGGGTTGCTCAGGGCTGGCTGAAGGGTAAATCTGATAGGCAAGGGATACTGGGAGGTAGGGGAGAAGGAAATGGTAAGTGCGGGAGCAGGGTTAGATCCAGGAGAAACCAGGGTATTTAGGGGAGGCCGAGGAGGTCTGGGGACAACTCGGAGAGAGAAAGAGAATGGTCAGTGTGGGGCTGGGGTAAAAGGCGGAAGAGAGCTAGAGCTGCACTGCCGAGGGTATTTTGGGGGGACGGGTGAGTCAGGAAGAGGTTAGAATGAGTGGAGGGGATGCGGGAGTCCGTCGGGGAGTCCGTCGGGTATTGGCGGGCGGGAGCCAGTGCCCCTGGGGGCCGGAGCGCGCGGTCAGCGTCCCCCTCCCTCCCCCAGCCGCCCCTGTCATCTCGCAGGCTCCGGAGGCGCTGTCACGGACGCGGGCGAGCACCGCGCGTTTCGTGTGCCGCGCGTCCGGGGAGCCGCGGCCCACGCTGCGCTGGCTGCACGACGGAGAGCCGCTGCGGCCCAACGGGCGCGTCAAGGTGCAGGGCGGCGGCGGCAGCCTGGTCATCACGCAGATCGGCCTGCAGGACGCCGGCTACTACCAGTGCGTGGCCGAGAATGGCGCGGGCACGGCGTGCGCCGCCGCGCCTCTGGCAGTAGTGGTGCGCGAGGGGCTGCCCAGCGCCCCCACGCGGGTCACCGCCACGCCGCTGAGCAGCTCCGCCGTTCTGGTGGCCTGGGAGCGGCCCGAGCTGCACAGCGAGCAGATCATCGGCTTCTCCCTCCACTACCAGAAGGCACGGGGTAAGTCTCCCCGGGGCTAAGAGGCCCCAGCAAAGACCTACGCGGGGGCTCTGGTGGGCGGGGAGGGGCGCGGCACAGGCTGGATGATTGAAGGGTTGCCTTTGGGGATAGGATAGAACGGGATGGGGTGGGAGCCCACAGGAGAGACCTGTGTAGAAATGGGTTAGTACATTTCTCCCTCAGCCACAGTTTGTTATAAGAGAGGAGGGAGAGGATGCTTCTCCTCCCAGGGAAATTGGCTTGGCATTCCTGGAGCCAGCTTGTTAATTGCAGCAGGAGTCACTTCAGTTAGAGGCTAGAAGAGACTTCCTAACCAGTGGAGGAATTAATACAGTGGGACTAGAAGTCAGGGGAGTTTATACTCTCCCACCGAGATTATCTGGAATGATTTAGCTATAAAGAAGCTATTCTAGGGACTGGGACAATATGAAGGATCCCTAGACAGCTCCCAGGTGGCAAGCCCTCGGGGGTTGCCCTGTGACAGACCGTTTGTCCTCTAACCCTAACCCACTCAGGCATGGACAATGTGGAATACCAGTTTGCAGTGAACAACGACACCACTGAGCTACAGGTTCGGGACCTGGAACCCAACACAGACTACGAGTTCTACGTGGTGGCCTACTCGCAGCTGGGGGCCAGCCGCACCTCCACCCCAGCACTGGTCCACACACTGGATGATGGTAGGGCCTCTGCACCTGCAGTGGGCACCTTGGGGCCCAGAGAATTCCCTGGGGATGGTAGCTCAGCTTCACTTTACTAGTGTTCGCCAAGGCACTTTTACCTGCCTTATGCCTTATTTTGTGCCCTGTAAGGGAGTGGGCGAGGGTTCTTCTCCTTAATTTACAGTTGGGAAAACTGAGGCCCAGTAAATTAGTGACTTGCCCAAGGTCAGTAGTACAGCTGGGACTTGAGCCCAGGTCTCATGATTGCCTGTATCAGATGGCCCTTCTCCCCGACACCCACGTACCATCCAGTCAGACAGGAGCCAGTGACGATCCATCGGATGTAGACGATTGTGCCCCCAACCTTATTCTGGCTTCAGGGTGGGAAGGATGTCCCCTCATCTCCAGCTTGGGGCTCCCCTGAGAGGCTCCCTTTCCTCCCTCAGATCCTGGTCCTGGGCCTACTTCTGACTTGCTGTGTGACCTGGGCAAGTCTCTGACCTCTCCTGGGCCTCACCTTCCACGTCGGTGGAGCAGAGCTCACGTAGATGTTCTTCTGTCTCAGTCCCCAGTGCAGCGCCCCAGCTCTCCCTGTCCAGCCCCAACCCCTCGGACGTCAGGGTGGTGTGGCTGCCCCTGCCCCCCAGCCTGAGCAATGGGCAGGTGGTGAAGTACAAGATAGAGTACGGTTTGGGAAAGGAAGGTGAGTGGGGGCAGGACACGGGCTCCACCTGGCTGGGAATCATTGGTGTGAAGGGTTGATCAGAGTGGCTGGGGGCCTGAGCAGAGCTGTGGAGTAGGGCAAGGTGAACCTGGAAAAGGGGAAGGTGGGCTGGGGGTTGGGAGGGCAGGAGAGAAAGGGAAGGCGAAGAGGGCTAGCTCAAGACAGGGGGAGGCCTGGGGTCTAGCCCCACCTCCTCTACGGCTGCGGTGTGTAATTCTGTTGAGTCCCTGCCTCAGTCTCTTTGTGAAATGAGGCAGGTAACCTAGGTAATCCCTGGGGCCCCTTCCAGCTCAAAAAGCAGGTGAGGGATAGGGAGGTGGAGGGTGTGCTTGTGGGATTGAGAGAAATGAGGCATGGGGGCGTGTGTGGGTTAGGACAGATGTCAGAAATCTAGGGGAGGAGGTATGAAAGGGATGGAGAGATTGGAGAAGGCGAGTGGCTGGGGGCCAGGATGAGGGTGGGGAGGGAGGGAAGGGTGAGGAAGGGGGCTTGGGTGCTTGGCAGGGCTCCAGAAGGTAGGTGGTGCTTGATGGCCTTCACAGCCAGTGCCTCATGCCAGCACCCTGGTGTGTGGGGTGGGGTGGTTACTGACAGCTCCTGGGGCGGCGGGGAGTGTGTGCCATGATTCTTCCCGCTCTGAGCCGAGGCTGATGGCTGTGTCAGCCAGAGTTGGAGGCCCAGGAGTCAGCCCTGGAGCATGGAGTCCGTCCGGGCACTGAGGGTTTTAGGCTCCGATGGGCCCTGAGGAACCAGGACCTGAGGTGGAAAAGTCGGTGTAGGGGAGTTTAGGAGTCCTGGTCCTTAGGTGGCCACCCAGAGCCAGTCTCTTCTGTCCCAGCAGATCAGATTTTCTCCACCGAGGTGCCGGGGAATGAGACACAGTTTACACTGAACTCGCTTCAGCCCAACAAGGTGTATCGAGTGCGGATTTCGGCCGGCACAGGGACCGGCTACGGGGCCCCCTCCCAGTGGATGCAGCACAGGACGCCCAGCGTGCACAACCAGAGCCACGGTACGGGGTCAGAGGGGACAGTTGGGGTGATGCGTGTGCCTATGTATGTATGTGTATGTTTGCCCTTGGAACCCAGACCCAGCCACCTCCTCCATCAGAGACGTTCCATGGCTCCCTCTGCTCGATGGGCAAGGGAGGATGGGTGAAGAGGCGAAGGGCTAGCTTTTGCAGACACCCCTGAGCTCCTGTTTCCTTTCCATCTGCTGTGTGACTTTGGACAGACCATTCACAGCTCTAAGACTTCATTTACTGCCAGGTGTGGCATGAGGATTAATTAATGTAAACAAAATGTTTAGCACATAATTAAAACTTGTTAAACAGTAGCTGCTTCCATGATTATGATCGTTGTGGGTTTGGCTGAGAGGCCCAATGGTAGAGTGGTTAAATGCAGTCAAAACCTGGCGCACATACTATCTGTGTGACCTTGGGCAAGTTACTTTTACGAGCCTCAGTTTTCTTATCTGTAAAACAGGGATAATAGTGCTTTTGTTATTTTATAGGGTTGTGAGAACAGCATCAGACACACAGTGAGCTGCCCCACTCTTAGGCTTCCAAGTAGGGCTCCCCACTTCCAATGGCTCCATCCCTCCTTCCTGGCTTTAGCGATCCCTGGGATCCCCTACCTGCCGGTACTCATGCATTCATTCCTTCAGAAGAATTCTAGAGCCCTGCCCCAGAGGTGCTCCTTGCTGACCTCTTTGCAAATGCCCAGGAGACATCCCTGCATTCCCAGCACTGGTGGAGGAGTGAGGTGTGCTCTAGACCGAGCCTGGGCCTGGCCCTTAGGCCGGTGGCTGAATGTTGATGCACTGGGAGAAGGCTGGCAAGGCTCTCACTCAATGCTGTCTTCCTGCTTTTTGCTTCCTCGTGTCTCTTCCCTCCTCCCTTCCTGCGCCTCTGCCCGCAGTCCCTTTTGCCCCTGCAGAGCTGAAGGTACGGGCAAGGATGGAGTCCCTGGTCGTATCATGGCAGCCACCCCCTCACCCCGCTCAGATCTCTGGCTACAAACTGTACTGGCGAGAGGTGGGGACAGAGGAGGAGGAGGCAGATGGCGAGGGCCCTCCAGGGGGCCATGGAGACCAGGCTTGGGATGTGGGTCCTGTCCGGCTCAAGAAGAAAGTGAAGCAGTATGAGCTGACCCAGCTAGGTGAGGAGGGCCAGGTGGGAAGGGGTGAGATGGACATAGCTCCAGTGGGAGACTGGACAAGCGGGGTCAGTGGCTGGAGATGACCCCAGAGGTTCCTCTAGCCAGTGAGTGACCCCCATGACCTTCCCCAGTCCCTGGCCAGCTGTACGAGGTGAAGCTCGTGGCATTCAACAAACACGAGGATGGCTATGCGGCAGTGTGGAAGGGCAAGACGGAAAAGGCTCCCACCCCAGGTGAGGGGGCTGGGGAAGCGGGGGAGGAGGTCTCAGTCAACAGGGTGGCCTCCTTTCCCTTTCCTCTGGGCCAGCTCTGGTGGTCAGGTTGTCTGGAAGCTTCAGCTACCCGCAAACCCATTCTACTAGGCTCTTCTAGGTTACAGAGAGAAGCTCCAGCTTGTGCACTGTCTTGTAGGTCTGCTTACCGTGTTTTCATTATCCATGAACAGTGCTAATATGGAAGGTTTGGACAGAGAAAAACCCCATGGTTCATCAGTGACTTCTGACTCCAAGTTTGACCTTTAAACAATTTTTAAAATACATCCACCTACATTGCACCGTCTATCAGATTATTCCTATGCTCTAGGGAGGGAGGGTATCCCTTTGTGGCCCACCAGGAAACTGAGGCTCAGGATCTTAGTTGGGGCTGCTGCAACAAAACATTATAGACTGGGTGGCTTGAACAACCAGTTCTGGAGGCCGGGAAGTCCAAGATCGAGACCCCAGCAGAGCCAGTGTCTGGTGAAGACCTGCTTCCTGGTTCGTAGACCATAGGCCATCTTCTCGCTGTGTCCTCACATGGCAGAAAGAGGGTTGGAGAGTTCCCTGGGGTCTCTTTTATAAGGGCACTGTTATAGACTGAAAATGTGTGTCACCCCAGAATTCATATGCCGACACCCTCCACTCCAATGTGATGTAATAGGAGGTAATTAGGATTAGATGATGTCATGAGGGTGGAGCCTTCATGAATGGGATTAGCACCCTTATAAGAGTCACAAGAGAGCTTGCTTCCCTTTTCTGCTCTGAAGATACAGTGAGAAGTCAATTGTCTATAACCCAGAAGAGGGCCTTCACCAGAACTTGACCATGCTGGCACCCTGATCTCAGACTCCAGAACTGTGAGAAATAAATTTCTGTTGTTTATAAGTCACCCAGTCTACGGTTGTTTGTTATAGTAGCCTGAACAGACAAAGACAGGCACTAATCCCTAAGACAGGACCCACCATATGTTCAAATTTCAACATATGAACTTTGGGGGGACACAAACATTCATTCCATGAAACTTTTCTACGTCCTTTACAAACATTAACTAATTTAATCCTCATAACAACCCTATTATCTGCCCCACTGACAGAATGGGGAATGGAGACACAGAGAGGTTAATTAACTTCTCCATAGTCACACAGCTACTAAGTGGCAGAGTTGGAATTTGAATCAGGGCAGCCTGGCTTCAGAATCTGTGCTCTTAATTGCCATGATTTGCTGTCTCTATTACATTCCTACATACTAGTGTTCCACAGTCTGCTATCTGTATGCTCTTGGCAAAAATCACTTGAATTCTTGGGAGCCTCAGTTTCCTCATCTGTGAAGTGAGAATGGTGCCACCCAACTCACAGGATCAAAAGAGACTGGGTAAAAGAAAGTGCCCTGGGAACTGCAAACCACTATACATATTGAGGGATGAGTATCCTCCCTCCATTCCAACACTCTAATTTTCACCCTCCAGACCTGCCCATCCAGAGAGGGCCACCCCTGCCCCCCGCCCATGTCCATGCGGAATCAAACAGCTCCACATCCATTTGGCTTCGGTGGAAAAAACCAGACTTCACCACAGTCAAGATTGTCAACTACACGGTGCGCTTCAGCCCCTGGGGGCTCAGGAATGCCTCCCTGGTCACCTATTACACCAGGTGGGAAGAGGGGGCTGATGCTGCGAAGGGGGAGGAAGAGCAGACGGTGGGGAAGAAGGCAGCAGGTGGTGATGAGGAGAGGGGACCTGGGGGTTCAGGGACATTTCATGACTCATGTGTTAAACTGGGGGCACATTGAGGGTCTGATGACCAGATGGTGCCAGATGGAAAAGGGGCCTCCATCCAGTCCCATCCCCTCACAGGAGAGCCTTGTACTCAACCCTAGGAAATGTCACGCAGGACAGACCTATTTCTTCAACTTCACGTGACGGGGAAGAGACAGCCCAGCTGCTGTCCTGAGAGGTCCCCAGTTAAATGGGGAGACAGAGACCCTGACCTGGGGAGTTGTTTGTTTGGCAGAAGAAACAAAGCATAAAAAGAAATAGATATATACAGTAGCAGCTGAAGTAAAATTAAGTCAAGGAAAAGAAGCATCAGAGATGGTCCCTTGGGTAGAGAATGATGTGGATTAATCCAGGAATGTTTCCTGGAAGAGGGGCCTGGCTTGGGGATTGGACATGGAGCCTGATACAGCCAGACCTCTCTGCAGGTCCTCTGCATGGTGTTAGTGGCCCCCATGGGGCTGGGGTAGGGGAGTAGATTTGGAGGGCCCTGCCCTGCTAGGAGGGTGTGCCTGAGAGCCCTGGTCACGTTTCTTGCCTTGGCAGCTCTGGAGAAGACATCCTCATTGGCGGGCTGAAGCCATTCACCAAATACGAGTTTGCGGTACAGTCCCACGGCGTGGACATGGACGGGCCTTTCGGCTCCGTAGTGGAGCGCTCCACCCTGCCTGACCGTGAGTGGCCACCAGTCCATCTTTCAGGGAACTCCTTCTTGCCCCAGCATCCCTCTTGTGAAGCACCCCTCAGAACCCCATGAGTGTCCGTCATTTGCTCTGCATCTCTGTAGGCAGTCCTGTGCTGGTCTTAACCGTTTACTCACAGACATCATAACGTAAGATTTAGAGGAGTGGTTTCTTTTAAGAGGCTGTGGGAAGACCTCAGCGAGCTGTGAGGGGGGCCAGGTCTGGAGGCAGGCATCCTGGGTTCTGCCTTTGGGTCCCCGTCATCCCCCTGACACACACTGAGACTTAGGCAGTCCCCTTCCCCACGAAGGGCCTGTGGGTCCTCATCTGTCAAAAGAGAGGATGGGACCATTCGCTTTGCAGGTCTGTGACTCTGGAACCCTCTGGAAATGCATCTGAAGACAAGTGGACTTTTTTTTTTTTTTTTTGCGGTACGCGGGCCTCTCACTGTTTTGGGCTCTCCCGTTGCGGAGCACAGGCTCCGGACGCGCAGGCTCAGCGACCATGGCTCACGGGCCTAGCCGCTCCGCGGCATGTGGGATCTTCCCGGACCGGGGCACGAACCCGTGTCCCCTAGCATTGGCAGGTAGACTCTCAACCACTGTGCCACCAGGGGAGCTCGACAAGTGGATTTTTGTTCTCACAGCAGAGGCTCTTTGGTGCTTCCAGTCCTAAGACTGCTCACCTTTCTATTGACAGACCTCTGTCCCTGACCTGAAATAGGAAGACACATGTAGGGTAGGGTGGGGAGGCCCTCTACCCTCATGGATTCACTTTTTAAAAAACTGCTTGCAAGTTGTTTCTCACCCATGCATGACTTCAGTTCTTATGGTCTTAAACTGCGTGCGGAGTTTAGGGAGACCCTGGTGTTTTCTCCAAGGAGACTGTATGATACTGGATCCCCAGCACAACTGACCAGGCTATAGAGGGGGGAATGTTTTCTCCTTTCGCAGGTGGGGAGACTGGAGCCTGAGAAGCAGAAAGTCACCTAGGATCAAGGAGGGTTCTGGCAGCCCGTGGTGCTGTGGCTCTGTTATGCCTTAGAGCCCTGGGTCCCCATCCCACCCTCTGTTGGGCCTCGAAAACCTGAGCCCCCAAATCTCTGTCCCTTCCCAACACACCAGCCACCTTGTGTCCCTCCTTCTCGCCCTTCCTCATTCACTCCCGCCCCCCAGGATCAATTTCTTCTCTGGAAAAAAACACAAAGCCTTCCAAGGTGCTGCTTCTCCCACTGCGGTTCCCCTGACCCTGAGGACTTGTGCCAGGGGCAGGCGTAGACAGAGGCTACCCAGGGCATCAAGCAACTTTACTTGAAGATTTCGGGTGGCAAGGGGAGTTAGGAACTTTAAATGATAAAGTATTTCAAACACTATTTTTATATTAAATGTTACCACGGAATAGATGAATTTAAAAGAAAAGGTAAGCCTTCTGAAAACTTCTGAGCTCTGCCCCCAGGTCCCTAGAATACCAGGAGTTGAAGACAGTGTCTTCAACCCTTGGAAGTATTTGGGTGTGGAAGTTTGAGGAGCTCTGCTCCAAGGAGTAGAAAAGAGTTTCTGAGAGGGGAGGAATGGTGGTGAAGCCCCCTCCTCAACTGTATTCCAGAAAGTCCCCAGTGAGAGACCAGACCTCATTCTGCTTTGTGGTTTGTGGTTTGTTCCAGTGGAGGAAGCAGGAAGGCTATGTCCTTGTGCCCTGGCTCCCAGCTGCCCCCAGAGCTGGGGCTGTCAGTGACCCTGCCTCTCCCCGTCTCCCCTCCTGACCCCCAGGGCCCTCCACGCCCCCATCTGACCTGCGCCTGAGGCCCCTGACGCCATCCACCGTTCGGCTGCACTGGTGCCCCCCCTCGGAGCCCAACGGCGAGATCGTGGAGTATCTGATTCTCTACAGCAGCAACCGTACCCAGCCTGAGCACCAGTGGACCCTGCTCACCACCGAGGGTGAGGGCTCGCGCCCCACGGCATCTGAGCAAGAGTTTCCCCACCCTCTCCCCACTTTCCAGCCTCCCCAGTGGCTGATTAGTAGTGAGCTTGCCGCTGAGGTTTGTTCTAGGAGGAGCAGCCAGAAGCTGCCGCCTGAGCGGGAGAAGCAGATTCTCTCAGGGCCACTTCCCAGCCCATCCCTGCAGCCCACCCCGACCCAATTCACCAACCCTGCTCTCCCTGCCTTCCCCATGCCCCCCCACCAGGAAACATCTTCAGTGCTGAGGTCCACGGCCTCGAGAGCGACACTAGGTACTTCTTCAAGATGGGGGCGCGCACGGAGGTGGGGCCTGGGCCCTTCTCTGGCCTGCAGGATGTGATTACTCTCCAGGAAAAGCTCTCAGGTAAGAGGCAGGAAGGCAGGAAGGGGTGGGGTCCATCCTGGGGCAGCCCAAGCTCTCCAGAGCCCCCCCCACACACACACACAGTTGACTTCTAGCCCTCAAGCCATCTCTTCCAAGGTCCTGCCTCTGGGCATGACTACACTTTCATTGTTTTGGACAAGTGCCCTCTTCACCTGGTGTGGAGAGGACAAATTTGGAGGGAAGATGGGTGTGGTTCAGTGGTGATTCAGTTGAGAGGTCAGATTTGCGGGAGACTGGCTTGGTTTCTTTGGGAGATTGCTTTGGACAACTGGCTTAGAAAGGTGATGAGATTTATGGGGTGGAGGTCTTGGGCAATGGGACTGGCTATGTAATCAGCAGGGCCCGGTGTGAAAGGAAAATGTGGGGTCCCTTATTTAAAAAGGGGGAAGAACTTCCAGATGGTGACAGCAGAGCATTAAACCAAGCCCAGAGCCCTTCTAAGCATGGGCCATGTGCCCCTGCAGGTGTTGCACACCTGCAAAACCAGCCCTGTTAGGAAGGCAAGAGGTGTGTTTCACTGAAAGGCCAGGCTGATGGGGAGGAGCCACAACTTCCGTATGTCCAGTGAGAGAGAGGTAGTGGTGGTCTCTGTGAGTCCATGGGGCCCTCCTGTCCTTGCATGAGAAGATTTCACATGTCCAAAGGGTGAGGCTCAGGCCAGGGGTCTCTGGAGGAAGCCGCAAGTCCTGGTCTACGAACCCTGGGTTCTCTCCCGTCCTCCATCTGTTCTGTTCCCTCCCTCTCCCCCGCCAGACTCTTTGGACGTGCACTCCGTCACGGGCATCATCGTGGGCGTCTGCCTGGGCCTCCTCTGCCTCCTGGCCTGCATGTGTGCTGGCCTGCGCCGTGGCCCCCACCGGTGGGTGAAGGAACCAGTCTGACCGCACAGAGGAGAGGTTTCTAGAAGGGCTGCAGAGATGAGGGAGCAGGGAAAGTGGCCATGACTTGCTCTGGGCACTCCCAGGAGCCCCATTAAAGTTGACTCTGGGATGAAGGGGTTGGGGGTGATGACCTCATGAGAGTAGGGGGTGGGTTTAGGGAAGCCCCCCAGCATATCCCCTCAGCAAGGGCAGGCGTAGGTAGAGCTGCCTCTCTGCCGCTTCCTTGGTAGCTGCCAGCATCTTGCAGAGAGGGACCCCAAATCTCCAGATGCCTGGAGCCAAGGGAGGAAGGACCCCAGTGTAGTGTCCCAGCTGTTTTGAACAATCCCAGAATTTCTTATTCATTGCACAGACCGGGAAATTAAGTCTCAGAGATGGGTAGGAACCTGCCCAGGGATACAGGCTGGACTAGATACCAGTCTCGCCCCCACCCCTCTCTTTGACCACTGTGCTGTCCCCCATCTTCCCTTCCAGGGAAGCCCTCCCGGGCCTGTCCTCCACGGCCACTGCTGGGAACCCCACGCTGTACTCCCGAGCCCGCCTTGCCCCCCCCAGCCCCCCGGCTGCCCATGAACTGGAGTCCCTTGTGCACCCCCGTCCCCAGGATTGGTCCCCACCGCCCTCAGACATCGAGGACAGGGCTGAAGTGCACAGCCTTATGGGTGGTGGCGGTCCTGACTGCCGGGGTCACTCCAAGAGAAAGGTGAGCCTGGGTAGGTCCGAGCCCCACACTGTGGCTCATGCCCGAATAGGACACCAGGGGGCGCGAGAGCGCAATGTGTGACCCCGTGAGAGAGCCCGCCCCTTCCCTCCTCCCCCCTCCCCTTCCTGGGCCAGCTGCAGAAGAAAAAGCATACTCTCCCTCCTCCTTGAAAGGGTTGGGAGGGCAGGGAAGCAGATGGGCCTCCATCCCCGGCAGAATAGGTCAGCCTGGTTCTCAGGAAGGAGGGAAGGGCCCCCGATGGGCTGTCTGCGGTTGACTCGGGATGGCCAGAACACCCAGATCCCTCCTCATCCTGGGAGCTGGGGAGACCTCTAAGACCCGGCTCTCCCCAGTATGGGAAAAAGAGGCTGGTCAGTTTGGAGGTGGTCAAGTGGGACCGGGATCCGGATAAGGTGGGCCCACACAGGGCAGGTCCCCTCCATCCTAGCAGTGGTGGCTCATCCTGCATTCCCTGACCAGCCAGCTCAAACCCCTGAGTCTTTCCCCATCCTTTCCCTGTCTCTGTGGTGAAGGAAACCCTGCCTGGCTCAGAAACCTCTGGGCTTTTCTGCAGGAGGATCTTTCTATCCTCAAATTCACCCCCAGACTCTCAGCCCATTCTGTGCTCCTCCCTACAGCCTTGGGGAGGGAGGTAGCAAGGGGGCCAAGAGAGTCTGTGAAGGGAGCTCCATACACTTCCCTCTCATACTTCACAGTCAAGCTCTCAATGCTCCCACTTTTCTTCCTGTGCAGATCTCCTGGGCTCAGCACGGTGGGCTGAGCTGGGCAGGTTCCTGGGCAGGCTGTGAGCTGCCCCAGGCAGGCCCCATGCCCTCTCTGACCCGGGCCCTGCTGCCCCCTGCTGGAACCGGGCAGACGCTGTTGCTGCAGGCTCTGGTGTATGACGCCATAAAGGTCAGCGTCCCGGGAGGAGGGGGGAGGGAAGGAGAGAAGGGTCCCCGCGTTTGTGCAGAGCAAGTAGTGAATCCTCTGGAGAGCCCTGGTGGTAACTTCCCTGGGGCTAAAAGTATAGCCAGCAGATCCCTGGAGCCTCTAAAGGTGAGTGGATGGAGAGCAGGCCAGTTTGGGAGAACCTGTATTTCTCTGGGTTGGGGACAAGCCTTCCTCTACCTAGACGTAAGTGGGCCACAGCAGAATTACATGGATCTGACGGTGCACCCGGCCTGAGTGCACTCAGCCCTTCCCCCTGTTCACTGAGGCCCTGACTGAATCTAGTACTTCTGGAACTCCTCAGCAAGGGCAAATGCGTAGTATTTCCCTGCCTTCCCAGGGATCTGATCATCATCTCTTTTAGGACAGTCACCGTTCTTCCTTTACCAGCTCCCATGTAATGTATAACGGGCTCTGGGCTGGGGGTCAGTCTCTCTGCATCCCAAGAATGATGGCCGTCCTTCTGATGGTCACTCTCAGTGATGGTTTTGTGTTCTCTTCTCTGACCAGGGCAATGGGAGGAAGAAGCCGCCCCCAGCCTGCAGGAACCAGGTGGAGGCCGAGGTCATTGTCCACTCTGACTTTAGTGCATCCAAAGGGAACCCTGACCTCCACCTGCAAGACCTGGAACCCGAGGATCCGCTGCCTTCAGAGGCTGCTGACCTCACTTTGGGTGTTATGAATCTCAGGCAAGGGGCAGACTGGCTGGACAGGGAGCTGGGAGGGTGTGAGCAGGCAAGCCCTGGGCCAGACAGACTTACCTGCCTGCCAGAGGCAGCCAGTGCTTCTTGCCCCTACCCGGATCTCCAGCCCAGTGAGGCTCTGCAGGAGGCCCCAGGGAACAGCTGCCAGCCAAAGGCCCCCTGCCCTCCAGCAGCCAGCCCAGGCCTGCCCAGAGCCCCAGTCTCCTCTGCTTAGCTCCCTCGAGGGCACAGTTTGGGGCAGGCTGGTATGGATCATGGGACATGACACGTGTGGCCACACATGTACACGTGTCTCCCTGCAGGTACTGACCATCATCAAGCCATTTGGAGCCTCCTAGGGTGCTTTGGCTCAGGGGAGAGGAAGAAGTGGGTTGTTCACTCTTCCCCACCCATGCTCTGTGACACGTGTGGTAGGCGAGAGACACGTGAAGCACAGCTATACGTGCTGTACACGTGTGAAGCGCGTGTGCGTGTGCTGGTTGGTGAGCTGGGAAACCTTGGCCCGGGCAGTGGTCACTACGGCCTACTCCGTCCTCCAGGTCAGGACAGTGCCCAGCCCTGTGGGCCCCCACCTCCGTCACCCAGCCTTTTATTACACACTCTGAGAGTGTCTCCAGTGCCCTGTCTGACAGAGACAGCCCCGGCCCACTTCCTGTCTGGCTGGGCTGAGTGCAAGCAGGCTCTGAATGCCTAACGCTTTAGCTGCATCACCTCTGCCATGTCCCCGGTGCCCAAATTGAGAGGGTGACTCTGGCTCCCCTCAGAGCAGCTCTGCATCTAGTGTTGTAATTGGGGAAGTGCCTGGTTTTGAAAATCTGCTTTCTCTTGCTCTCCCCTCCTTCCTCCCCGCTCACTCCTCTAGTGTCTGTCTCACAGTCGCCCTGCTCTCCCAATCCTAGCGCCCTTCTCTTCCTCCCTGATACCCTTTCCTTTCCTCTCTGCGTTTTCTCTGTCTCCTCTTTCCGTCTGTCTCTGCTGTCTCTCCCACCTCTCCCACACTGTGTCATGTGGTTCTCCTGCCTGGGTTCAATCTCTGCATCCTCCCCTAACAACATGACTACCTCATGTCTGTTCAAGGCCAGAGCGTGACTCCTCTGTCTGCCATCCACTTCAGCCATCATCCTCCCACCCCCTTCCCATCTGTGCCCCCATAGGCCCCCTCCCCAGGCAAACTGCCTACCCCCAGTGCAGTTTGGAAAAGACCTTTCAGCTTGCCTTGCATCTTTCTGCCTGTGATTGAGATCGAAGGATTCTCCTTGGAGGGGATAAATGCAAGTCATACAAGGGGGTTTTTGAGACAAGGAAAGGGGAACACAACCCAGAAGCTTGGGGTAAAATTACTCCCTCCCTTCTAGGCAGGCAGGCAGATTTGCTGGACAGAGGGGTTTGGGGACCTTCCTTCCCAGTTGAAACTAGAAGGGTAGAAGGGGATGGAAATTAGGGGTTCCGTGGCCCCACCGCTTCCCACTCTGTGCACCTTGAACATGAGCTGACGGCATGGAGGTGGAAGGAATCTCATCCTCTTGCAGTGCTGGAAGGGAGGGCTTCACACAGGACAAGGGTGATGGGCTCTTTTCATTTTGTCTTTTCTTTAAATTCAATCCTGAAGTCATTTTCTGTTGACCTACCACACAGGGACAAGCTTGACTTCTGTTTCCTGTGGAGAGAAAACAAGGTCATTTATTTGATTTTGCACCTCAGCCTCTCATAGGAGCATCGAGTATGTGGTCTTTTCTCCCTGCATTCATCTTTTCTAACTGAGCAGCACATCAAGGGTTAACTCTGGCTTCTGGGCCAAATTAGAAATAACCAGTCTATCTTTCCTTTTTTTTTTTTAAATGGTGAAATGTCTCTCAGCGGAGTTGCAGCTTTCTCAGACCCTTTCAGCCTCTGTGTTTATTACACTCGGGTGTCACTCACGTTTGACATCCGCACCTACATTTCCTCCTCCTCCCCCTCCTTCAGGCAGCCTATGATAACACTAAAGATTATTAATGTTGGTTTTGTATCTCATTAGGACAGAATTGTCACTTGTACTATTTCTGTAGCACTCAGCGTTGCTGTGGCTAACACTACTGTATATGTTTCATCACCGCTCTGAAGGTCAAAAGCCTCATTTTATTTTGCTGGTTTGATTTTTTTATTTTCTAAAGGAAAAAACAAAACCAACTGCCCTGAACTAAACGGCTGTTCTAACAGTAGGCTCCTAGCATTACACCATGCAGTCATTTTTCACGTTCTTGTTTAACGGGCAGTGAGGTTCTGGTTTAAATTAAATAGCTGCAAATGAGACAATTTATAGCCCGTTAGGTTGGGTGGAAAATTGTTTCTCAAAAGCAAATAAGTAATAAATCTGGTGTCTGCCTGTAACTCACAGTTGATAAGAAAGTGGCCATTACTCACTAGCATTGTATATGATTTGGGCTCTGGGTCCTTTGGAAGTGTTAGGTTTGTGTCTTTGCAACAGTATTTTTATTAGAAAAGAGTCCATTGGCCTTTTACAGGGTATTAATCCCTTTGTCATCTACCACCGATGCCTTACGGTTTTTGAGTCTCATTTAAAAACCTTTTCTCGATGCGTGACACGTGTAATCGGTACCTGCTCATTTATTTGTCTGTAGTTTTGCTGTATTATTTAATTATTTTTCCAGTGTTTTCTTTCTCCTTACAAGTATGATATTCTTTAGTGTTAAGCCAAGGCATTGATCATGTATCTGTCCCTATAATGAGTTAATAAACTATTTTCCAAAAAATGTTCTCTTTTGGAACCAAATGACTAGAATTTCCTCAGCCTTTCTGCACGAGAGAATGTATTTCCTACCAGGATGGGGAATGTTGGTTTTTGAGGGAAAGAGCAGGTGGTTATAAGAAAGAACGGATCTTATCTCTGAAAAAAAGGTAACCCTTGTACATTGCCGATGGGAATGTAAATTGGTACGGCCACTGTGGAAATCAGTATGGAGGTCTCTCACAAAACTAAAAATAGAACTACCATATGACCCAGCAATCCCACTCCTGGGTATATATCAAAACAAAAACAAAAACGCTAAGTTGAAAAGATACATGCACCCTACTGATTATTTACAATTGCCAAGATACGGAAGCAACGTGTTTCATCAACAGAGGAATGGATAAAGAAGATGCGGTAAATATATACAATGGAATACTGCTCAACCATAAAAGAGAATGAAATTCTGCCATTTGCAGCAACATGGATGGACTTGGAGGATATCATGCTAAGTGAAATAAGTCAGGGAAAGACAAATACTGTATGATATCACATATGTGGAATCTAAAAAGTAAACAAATGAATATAACAAAACAGAAACAGACCCATTAGACATAGAGAGTAAACTAGAAGTTACCAGTGGGGAGAGGAAGCGGAAGGGGCAAGATAGGGGTAGGGGGTTAACAGGTACAAACTGCTAGGTATAAAATAAACAAGCTACAAGGATATATTGTGGAACACAGGGAATATAGTTATAACTATAAATGGAGTATAACCTTTAAAAATTATGAATCCCTGTATTGTACACCTGTAACATATAATATTGTACATCAAGTATACTTCAATAAAATAAAATTTTAAAAGAGAACGGGTTACTCAGAATCCTAGGATAGGAACCCTCCCCACCAAAAAAACAAAAACAAACTGAACCATCTCCCTACCTCAACAGGCACTTCAGAAAAGCACCTAAACTTAGGAAAGATGCTTTCTTTGATGACACTCTTTTAGGCTCTTCGGGGATCTCTTTCCATCTGGACACACATTTTTTAACTTTCTTGGGTGCAAGGGAGGAGTGAACCACCAACTCCGGAGATTTGGGCTCAACAACTCTTCTTTGTTAACTCTGGTCTCCAAAATTGCCCATGGCTGCATGTTCACACATGTGGGCACTGTGCCTACAAGCTCAGAGACCCATCCTACATGCACTGTCACCTTCACAAACACCCTTGTGTCCATTAACTCAAACCTAAGCACAATAGTCACACACCGAACTCCACACTTACACCCCACACACATCTCAGGATCACAGCTGGCAGCTGCTCTGTTAAGATCTTTACAGTGCCTGGAGTGTGGTTGCTTTTCTACTGCAGGGAACCAAGAGCCAGAGGCTGCCCTGCCCAGGACCACCCCCAAAGTGGCTAGTGAGCCAGCCCCAAGTTAATTGACAGATCATAGGGAGAGATACTGCACATTTTGCATGCAGGAGAATAGCCATTATTTGCATATCACTCTCAGAGCAAGCGTTGTGATAAAGAAGAATTAAACACTTGTCAAAATGAATTTAAAATGACAGCATCCCAGGACACCAATTTGACCTCTCCTGAGTCTAGGACAAGCCAAGAAGGGGTTGTTGAGAATTCAAGCCCTGCAGGAGGGAGTTCCAGGACTTTGGGCCCACGGGAGGGCCCCCCCTCCCCTCCCCTCCCTTTCCTATGGCCAATAGAAGCTCATCATTCCTGCCCTTCCTCATAATGAGATTGGTTTGGAGCTTCGGTGTGTGCCCGACCCTGAATTTCTCCATTGCCTCCTACTGCTTGCTCGTGTGTCTCAAGTCCTGCCTCTCAAGCTCACCTTCCAGTTGCTACTACAGAGTAAGGAGTCCCTGGGCTGCACAAACCCCATCACGAGTAAACTTATCTGATTTCTGGAGGCCTTTTCTTTACTCATCTGTACCAAAGTTAGTTTTATATATGGTTAACATTCCTGCTCCAAGATTCCGGAGTTGGTATCGAAAGAGAGATGTAATTACTCCTCTCCCAGACCAGTCCACTGCCAGTAGCTGAGTGAGGCAGAGCTACTCTCTTTAAGCCTCCTGCTCCTTGAACTTAGTAGATGCTCAGTAATTTTGATGGACTAGCACATCATGCTGGACTCAACAGAAGATCATTTAATAGTGAGTGGCCGAGACTGAAGATCTCTGAGGGCCAGCATGGGGATGTATGTCCTAAGAGGCATGCCTATCTTCCATAACACTTCTTACCTGAGACTGACGCTGTCTCCTTTTTTTGTTCTCTGACATGAAACCTTGAGTCTTCTTTGTGGCATAGAAATGTTACTGGGAATTTTAACTTTCAATATGCTTTCCCAGTTACCAGGCTATTTGTCATGACCTGTGTCCTTTAAATTTCCCTATGAGTGAGCAGGGGAGATATGATTATCTCTCAGATGAGTTCCAAGAGTGACTGCCTGGGTTTGCGGGTCTAAACAGCGGGCAGAACATCGGAACCGGGTCACTTAAGTGTTCTCATTGTCCTGTTGGTTCCGCTCTCCCAGGGCCCGGGATGAAGCTGCCTTCCCACTTCTCCTACCTCTGTCCACCCATGCGCCAGAACTCTTCAGTCTGAAGAGGCCAGTCTTGCAGCTAAACGTCCTAGCCTTTGGCTGGAAGGACCGGAAACCAAAGGAAAACCGAATCTTTGACAACTTTGTGCAGCTTTTAGGGAATTATCTCGACAATATAGACTTGGACACGGTGCAGGAGGGCGCAGCAGAAAGAGTTGGTCAGAGGGAATCCCGCAGCTTTGCGGGTTTCTCCGCAGCCCAGACCCATTCGGCGGTCCGCTGGGTCTCCACTTCCCCAGTCGCCCCCAAGTCCGGGCTGGTCCGCGGGGGAGGGGTACGGGGCTGCAGCTCAGGACGGCGCCCGCCGCTCCGGCCCCAGTTCAAAGCGCAGGGGGCGCGTCCGCCGCGCAGCCGGGAATGTCCGGCCGCTTAAAGCGCTCGCCGGCTCTTTTGTTCCCCAGACCGGGCCTCCGGGGAGAGGGGGCTGGGGGAGGGGACCGGGAGGGGAGGGAAGGGGGGGGCGGCGGGCGGCGGGAAGAGGGAGGGGCGGGCGCGGGCGGTGCGAGTGCGGAGCGCGCACCCCGGGCGAGGCTGACAGATCGCCGGGGTGGGTGCAAGATGGCGCAAGCGGCCGTGCTCCCCCTGCGCCCCCGGCGCTCCTAGGCAGGCATGTGGCCCCAGCCCCCAGCCGCCCGGGCTCGGCCCCGGCCGGAGCCCCGGCCTCGGCCCCGGCGCCGGCCCCGCGGGACGCTGTGAGCCGCGAGAGGCCCCAGAGCCGCGCGTCGCCGAGCCGAGCGGACCGCGAGCCCCATGGCTGCTCCGCGCGCCGCGCCCCCGTGCTGCCGGCCCCGGCTCCTGCTGCCTCTGCTGCTGTTGCTGCTGCTGCCCGCGCCGAGCGACGGTGAGCTAGGGCGCCCGCGAGCCGGCGGCTGAGGACCGAGCCCCGGGAAGGGCGAGAAGGGAGTAAGCGGGCGCGAGGGGCGGACCCGGGGAGAGCGGCGCGGACCTGCGGGTCGGAGGGACTTGCCCGAGAAGGGGAGGCGAACGGGACGGGGCGCTGAGGCCGGGTTGCCGGGGGCGGCAGGGGAATGCTGAGGATGGAGCCCCCCGAAGAGAGACCGGTATTCCGTCCGCTGCGTCTCCAGGACTCAGGGCAGTGCCTGAGCCCGGACTGAGGAGCAAGGAGCGCGGCAAAGCAGGAGCTCGGCGGGCAGGCTGGAGTTGGGGAGAGGGGGAAACGAGCCATGGGAGACCACAGGGCTGAGGCCCGTCCGAGGGGGCGCGCTGGGGTGCTTGGAGCCCAGGGGTGGGCACAGAGTGGCGCGGGGCGGCCGAGGCAGCAGGCGGCAGACCCCGGGGGCGGAGGCCGGGACCCAGCGGGCTGCGGTGGGCGGAGAGCACGTCGTGGATTTGGAGCCGGGACTGGGACGCGGAGTGCGAGGGAGAGACCGAGGACGAGGAGGAGGAGGAAGATTCCCGGCGGGCCGCGTGTGGGGAGGGAGAAACCCGAGAGACACCCCGCGAGCTGAGGAAGCAGGGAGAGAAGCCGACCGAGGGCTAGCGAACGGCGGGGATGCTCACGTGCCCGCCCTGCCCCGGAGGGTGCACACGCAGAGCTCGGGGTTTGCCGGCTTTGCCGCCCGGAGCTCCGTCACCACCATCCTGTTCCCTCAGTGGCTGTAACGGGCCCATCTCACGGGAGAGGGGCGCAAATCTAGTCCCTTCCCCTCCCACCCCAAGTTCTCAACAGACACTCCTCTGGGCAGTATTCTCTCCCCTCTTAGCTCGGAGAAGCGGAGTATCGCGGCCGCCTCTAGGAGAAACTTTATACCCCAGTTGCTGTACTGGGCTTGGGGTGGGGAACTGAGGCTGCTGAAACGCAGTTCCTGGTAAAGATGGGTAGAGATTTGAAGGGGCGTGACCCTCAAATGTCTTAAAATACGAATTACCTATCCCTGAGAGTGGGGGAAACGCCCCTAACCCCAGCCTTCCACCTTCTTTCTCCCCACCCGCCGCCCCATCTCCCCCCAGCCAGGGAGGGCGCTGGTCTGTTAGGGACGGGCCAGCTTCCGGATCTCTAGTTCCCTGGAAATGTGAGGAGGGGTCTGTGGATGCCTTTTCAGCCCAGGTGGGTTCATTCCTCCTGGAGTGAAGTTGTAACTGGTCTGGTAAGTTGCTCGCTTGAGAAGTCGGAGACTCGGCATCATGCCTGGGATTGGAGCTCTTGTCCTTCCTCTCCGGCTTCTTCTGATTCCCTGACCACCCTCTTCTCCCTTCTCTTCTTTCCCCTCCTCTTCCAGTTCTTTCCTCTTCTGCAGGAGTGAAGAGGTTGCTGGGAGTAGAGGTTGTAGGAACCTCCCTCTTTCTAAATTTTGGGAAATCTGAGTAGATGTTTGGTATCCTTCATTCTCCTATGACAAAGGCAAAACAAGCAAAGCAACCAAAACCCAGAGCATCCTAGGGGTGGGGCAGTGGAGCTGGACCGTCGCCTAGCCTGTACCCGGTACTGGGCCCACACACCTTTCTCCCTGCCAGGCATTGGACCAGGCCTCAGATGGTTTTGCCAGCAAAATGAAGCAGTGATTTATTACTATCTCAACTTTATATTTGTTTAGAAATTTTAATTTTTCATAGTGCAGTGCCTTTGAGTCTGTTAGTCATATTTAACAACCCTACAACGCAAGCCATATTGTTGTTCCTGATTTAAACAGACGAGGGCCGAGAAGCCCGGAGAGGTTGAATACTTTACCTGAGGTCACACCCTGAAAGTCTGTGAGGCTTCAGTGCTTAACCAGGGTGACCACAGAAGTGGCAGCGGCTGTATTGGAATCAGTGTTGCTTTTAGATCCCAGATTTGCAGCTGTTAACTCTGAGGCCTCCAACAAGTTGCTTAACATCTCTGGGTTTCAGTTTCCTTTTCTGTAAAAGATACACATTAAAAAAAAGATGGTAGAAACAATATCCATCTCTCTGAGATGGTCTGTTGATTAAGTAACTATACTGCATGAGATGCACAAAGGTCTATATATTAATAGAGATTCCTATTAACATCACAGAATGATGGGGATGGGGTACACAGATCCAGAGAACTTGGAACACCTGTGTCTGCTCATTCCACACTGACCTCTCCTTTTCCTCTCATCTCCCCCGCCTGATTGCAGGTCTCGGCCACTCCGCCGAACTGGCATTTGCTGTGGAGCCAAGCGATGATGTTGCAGTCCCTGGGCAGCCTGTAGTGCTGGGCTGCAAGGTGGAGGGGACCCCTCCAGTGCGAATCACCTGGAGGAAGAATGGGGTGGAGCTGCCCGAGAGTACCCACTCCACTGTGCTGGCCAATGGGTCGTTGATGATCCGCCACTTCCTGCTGGATGGAGGAGGCAGCCCTTCAGACGAGGGGGACTATGAGTGTGTGGCTCAGAACCGCTTTGGGCTGGTGGTCAGCCGGAAGGCTCGAATCCAGGCTGCAAGTAAGTGGGTGCCCTTACTTTTTTTTTTTCCAGGCCATGGGGGGATAGAGGGAGCAGTTCCATCTTATGCAGCTTCTGGAGCCCTAATTTCTCAGCATGGGTCAGTTGAGAGGGGCATAGCAGTAATTTGCGGTGGTGGAATTATATCTTATACTCATTTAACTGATTGGAATGCAATTTGACAAGAATGTAGCCAGACACTGTTGTGGGAAGAGGGAGAGAGAGACAGCAAGCTTCATCCAGTTCTTGGGTCAGTGTGTCTTAGTTTCCATATGCCTGTATATTGTGAGCATCCTAGTCTATTGAGTATGATTTTTGTGTTTAAATATAAACAGTTGTCATACTTTGGGGGTAATTTAAGAGATGGTTTTTTTTTTCCCTTTGCAGCACGTGGGCCTCTCACTGCTGTGGCCTCTCCCCGTTGCGGAGCACAGGCTCCGGACGCGCAGGCTCAGCGGACATGGCTCACGGGCCCAGCCGCTCCGCGGCATGTGGGATCTTCCCAGACCGGGGCACGAACCCGCGTCCCCTGCACCGGCAGGCGGACTCTCAACCACTGTGCCACCAGGGAAGCCCTTTAAGAGATTTTTGAAGGGTAATTTTGGTTACATGCAATTTTTCATTACGTGCTGACTTTCAAACCTTTTGGGTAGAATAAAACCTCACTGTACCAGTGATGACATTCTGAAGCTTGTCAACAATTTGCTTTACAAAAAATATGATAGAATAATTTCAGGGTTAACACAATGATGACATTACTCCCACTCACCTTCCTGCTGGTGTACTTTTTTAAAAATTTCAGCTTTATTGAGGTGTAATTGGCAATAAAATTATAAGATTTTTAAAGTGTACATGTGGTGACTTGATATTTGGTGTGCTTTTTAGATTGGGAGAGAAGAGGTGTTTCCGCTCTAGACTTGTGCTTTGCTTGTGCTATTGGGCCACCAGTAATTGTGGTGATGAAATGATGGCCGTGCTTTACTGCCCTTTCCTGCAAAAAGTCTGTTGTTGTTGTTTAATCTGTATACACTCATTGTTACAAAACAATGAATCTTTACATAAACCAAAATTGTTTATGTATCTTGGGAAGGTGGCAGGCTGTGAGGGTGGGCGGTCATGGTTGAGAACCACTGCTCTTGAGGAAGGGCAAAAGTTTTGCCAAGTGGAAAATGTTCTCCATCCCATATCTCTATGCTTCTGTGTGTGTGGGGGGGTGTCCCTTAAAGGGGTTGCTTTAACTTTGGTTGGTAATCATTTTAGCTAATACTTAGAAAGCAGTTGCTGCATACTGGGCTCCCTGCCTAAGTGCTTTACATGAATTATCTCATTTAGTCATCGTGATGACACTGGAAGATAGGCAGTTATCATCCCTCTTTTACAGATGGAAAAACTGAGATTTAGGGGGATCTGTGACATTCTGGTGAGCAGAGGAGCCAGGACTGCAGTCTAGGTATTCTGAACCCTGCACAGTCCCACTTAACTCTTGTGGCACGCTGCCTCTTCCCCATCTGATCACTGACAAGTTTCTTCCTGGCTCTGAGGGCATTTGCACAGTTGCTCTGAACGGCTGGTGAGTGATGAATCATTCTGAGGCAGGAGCCGTCTAGTTGGGTTTAAGATGCCCCTTTGTTCTAAGGAAGGCTCATCCAAGCCCCCATATGGAGCTCTCTGGGAGGCAGCCCTGGACCTTGAGACTGAATCACTTCTGGCTCAGCGACCCCTCATCCCCCGGTCCTCCTGGCAGTGTAGGGGAAGGCTGGTGCAGCTTCTGAGCAGATGGCTGGGTGTGAGGAAGAGAAGCGTGGACGGAGTGTAGGGACCCGAGGAAGATTTTCGGGCGGGAGAGAAGAGACTTCTCAGGGAGCTGCTCCCTGGCTTGGGTCCACACTGAAAGTTAGATGGCCCCTGCATCACCAGCCTAGAATTCTGGGAGATGAATCCCCAGGTGTTTATATATAGCTAATTGTAAATGTGCTTTTCTGTAAATGGTAATACCTTCAAGATGTTTGGCTTCCTTAAACTCCTAACAGTATAAGAAAAGTGAGCTGTGGGCTCTGACTGGGGGAAGGGCCAGTGGGCGAGGTCAGCTTGGTTAATCCTTTGGGGTCCTGGGGACAGCTGGGGGTTTGCCTCCAAACACGGGCAGTCTGATGCGGTCTCTCTCCCCCACAAGGCTCGTGGCCCCATGGGGAATGCTTGGATACCAAGCAACCGGGTGGCTGGATCCCCTTTTCTCACTTCATAGGCTGATGTCCCTAGGAACCTCCAAAGCTGATTAGCTGCCTGGGTTTTCTCCTTTGGTAATAACTCCCTGCCCGCATGCCCGCAGTCAGGGCAGATGTTGTGTGACATGGGAGGGTGCCTTCTGAAAAGGTGTGAGGTGCCCTCCAGAGCCCCTGATTCTCCTGCCTGCTCTACAGGGGCTGATAGGGTGGGGGTATGCTAAGCACCCCTCACAGACACACAGTCCACCCAGTGGACTACCCCAGCGAGGCAGCTAGGGGTCCAGGTGAGTTTGGGCAGGTCTGCTGGGGCATCCAAGCTCTGGGCCAGAGGCCGATGGCTGGGAATGCCCCCTCTCCCATCCCAGTGGGCTCGGATGCTGTCATGGAAAGATGGCCTGCCCAGGATGGGCTAGACTACAGGCTGATTCCTTGGGGGCTTTAGTTCAAAGTATCTCCTTTTTAGGACAGAGTGGCTCAGGGTCCTAGGAACACTGGTGCTTCCAGCACGTCTGGTTTCTCTGCCTTGCCGTTCCATGTGTTTATAGTTTGGGGGCTGAAAATCGAGACACTTGTTAAGGATGAGACCCTGGACAAGTTAATCTCTCCGTGGCCCAGTTTCCTCACCATTATGTGAAATGTGCATATAATCCTACTTTGTAGGATGGTTGTAAGGACTAACACACCCCATGCTTTGCCTGGCACAGAGGAGGCGCTCGGTAATGGAGTCAATACCTTTTTCTTCATTTAAAGGTGATTCCACTCATGTTGCCAGCAATAGCAGACTGCCTGAATCCGCTCCCAGCCCCCCGGCTTTCTCCCGCGCTGAGATTCAGTTAGGGAGTACTCTAGGGAAATCTCTCAAGGAGTAGAATTATTGGAGCCAGAGTACGACCTGTTCTGTTTTAACCCCTTCGTGGGAGGGCCTGGGGATTCTCCCAAGCCTCTGAGCATCGTCTGAAGCTTGGCTGGCCTGTGAGACCCTCTGCCATCCCTCTGGAGGGGCTCCAGGAAGGGCATGTGGGTCACCCGATCCAGTGGGAACATGCATTGACTCACACCTGTTGAGGTCTGTGTGCCTGGATGACTCCAAAGAGGGATGGGCTAGCTACGAGGAGGGGGGATGATTGGGAGGGAGACCCACCCCCAACTCTCCTCAGGCAGATGCCCTCATTTCCTGCCTCTCACTTCCTGGCCTCAGTTCTTGGTCTCAGGCCCCTTGGGAAACTGGAGCTAGATGATCTAGATCAGGACTTCTCAGACTTTAGTATGCCTGTGAGTTACCTGGGGATCTTGATAAAATTCAGATTGTGAATCAGTAGGTCTAGGCCAAGGCCTGGGGTTCGGCAGGTCTAACGAGATCCCAGGCAATGCCAATGATGCTGGCCCACAGGTGCGGAGGAGAGCCCCCTCCCATGTCAGAATCACTGGTGGGGGTGGGTGGGTCTGTGGGCAGCACAGTGAAGTCCGTAGAATATGGGCTTCAGGGCCGCACCTAGGTGGGTCTGAACCCCAGCTCTGCCACTCACTGACGATGTGTCCTTAGCAAGAGTTACTTTTAATTCTCTTGAGTCTTTGTGCTCTCATCTGAAAAGAATGAGCATAATCCCATCAGCCTATCAGGGCCGTCAGAGGATTAAATGAGGTGATGGATGGAAAGCACCTGGCACAGGACTTGGCCTCTAGGAAATGCTCATTAAGTATTACTGTTAGTGCTAGGTATTGAGTGCTAATTTAGGATGAGGACCAGCCTGTTCCAGTGCAGGCAGGGCTCTCAAAGAGCCAGGAATGCCTTCCCAGCAGCCTGGGGCCATCCTGGTTGGGGTACCCAACAATGGTTATGAGGGTGGGCTGTGGAGGCAAACACACCCCCAGCTGGAGGGACTTGGGAAACTGGACTCTCTGAGTCTCAGTTTCCTCATCCTTAAATTGGAGGAAACAATACTTACCAAGGAGGAATGCTATGAGGATGACCTATGAGAATAGGCCTAAAGAACTTAGCATAGAGCAGGGTATGTAGAAAGTGTTCCTTAGATACTATCATTATTCTGGGGAGGTAACAGAGGTGAGAAATGTGAAGTTCTGAGCTCCTTTAGATGTGATGGTTCCAGGAAGGCACTGGTGAGCCCGACTCCTAGAAAGAGGGAGTGGAGTATGGTGAGAAGAGTGGAAGTCCAATTCTAGTCCCCTGCTGTCTCCAGCCCAGTAAGTCACCTACATCTCAGGCCCTCAGTCACCCCCTCCTAAAGGCTGAATCATTCTTAGCCTGTCTGAGGGAGGCAAGTTTAACCAACGACTCTGGAATCTCTTTCAGCAGCAAGACCCATGCTTGTGCGGATCTGGGGGCGGGGTCTGGGCATAGGTCTGTGGAACCAGGTCTGGGTGGGGGGTTGGGAAAACTTTGGGCTGGAGTTGCTGGGTGGTACAGCTTGTGTGAGGAGACCCCGGAGGGCCTCAGTGTAGACAGTGGGATGTGTAGGGAAGCGGTTCCTGGCACAATGGCTGGTAACCCTGGAAGCCTTTGTCACCTGGAGGCCTTTGTCACCCAAGCTTTTCTTTCCCCCTTGAGGGGCAGCTCAGCCAAAGTAACCCTGAGGAAGTCTCCTCTCTGCCCCTTGCACGCGTCTGCCTACCCATTAGAGCAGGAAGCAGGCGCTGTAGCTGAGGTGCTGCCGGTGTGATGAGTGAGTGGCCATGACAAGGCCTTCTCTCACGCCAGGCGGGTCACCCATAAGTATGCTGTGGCGCAGAGGTAGGTGCAAATGGGTGAGGGTCGGG